TTCATAAAGAAAATATCAAATGAAAGACAGTAATATACAGAATATAAAATAAACCAAGACGCATTTAAATAGTGAAATCATTATTTAAATAAAGGGAAACGGTTTTATAATAATGCCGACATTTGTTATATTTTCTGTTGTTAATTAAAAGTAGTGATTTCAGACGGGACTTTAACTGTAGATTAAAAATTGATTCAATTAATCCACGCTCGTTTGTTTTGATTTGGAGGCGGACGTGAAGTGAGGATTTACGTTTAATTTTGCACAGCATTGTGGGGTGGTAAAATACAATTCATTTCCTGAAAGCACGCATCCGATCCATACTGCATGAAACCCGGAAGTTAGTATCCATACTGAAATGTTCAGTATACTGAGGTGGACCAAAAAATGTATACTGAATGACCACGAAAGTTCAGTATACTGAAACTCCTACTGAAAAGTACGTACTGCCTACTGAACTGTGGCTATTCGGAAAGGCCTCTGTGTTCCTTCCCTTGTGTTGTTCCTTGTATGTTGAGTAGCCAGAGTTCATTGTCGAATGTTAGTTGTCAGTCTACTAGTGTCTCCTTGTTTTTTGTTTTGGATTTTGATAGTAAGTTTTTGTTTGCCTTTTTGATTATTAAATACTTTTAGTTTATTCTGCACTTGGTCCACCTCTCCTTGTTTTCCAACCATTCATGACACAGTGGAGCCGTATCGCAACTGCCCGTCCTAGCTACCCTGACTCCCGTTTCTATTTTCCTATGTCGCTCGTGTAGACAGATGAGGAAGGAGGGGCTGACATACACAGCACTGACACTCATTTTCTTAGTCAACAGAGCTTGTCAGTGTCTTACCAAGTGGAGATAGTGGTGCATTAATATCGTAATATCCACATTCGTGATTGAAATGTTCTCTGACTTGTGTCAACAACACCGCTCACTACACGCCGTTTATTGACAAACCTCTGTGTTGTGACAGTCAACAGCTCCTAAATACACCTTTGACCACCTTCATTACAAAAACACTAGATGTCATATTGTTTGCAAAGGAAACTGAAATTCACAGAGAAAATAATGATATATTTGATGGATGCAGATATATAATGCTTGCCTGCTGTTAGGACACAGTGTTAGTCGCAAAAAGCTCTAAAGATCTTTTATAAAAAATAAATTAGGAAAAAGAAAGTTGGAGCTTCAGGAGGAGTCCAGCGGATGGCTATCACCAACTAAGAAACAACAACGGGACTCCACATATGCAGGTATTTATGTTATGTTGAGAACAATTATAACCACCAGAACAGTGCTCTCCAAGCTATATAACAGAGCTACTGACACCATATGAGCCAGCCCGCAGTCTTAGATCCTCAGGTGGGGGCCTCCTGGTCGTTCCGAAGTCGAGACTTAAAACTAAAGGTGACAGAGCCTTTTCAGTCAGGGCCCCTCGACTTTGGAACGACCTCCCTGAGGAGATAAGACTCGCAGATTCCCTCAATTCTTTTAAATCCTTCTTAAAACGTACTTTTACAGACTTGCTTTTATGTGATGTTGTCTTCTTAATGTCTTTTCTTATTGGTTTTACTATTTTTATCTTCTTTTACTTCTTACTGTCCTTTTATTTATGCTCTTATCTTAACTCCTCTTATGTTTTAACTTGGTAATTTCTTATCTTAGTCTATTTATGTTTTATATTTATATTTACTTTTGATTAATATTCTAGTTGTTTTTTTATCCTTTAACCACTTTTTCTATTTCTTTTACTGCTCTTACCTCGTGTTGTTGGGTTCTTGTGTTGCCTGGGTTCTTATATATGGTTCTTATATTGGTCGGTTATATATCTGTTGGGTTATCGTGCAATATGGGTTCTTTTCTGTTGAATTGTATTTAATTATTTTTAGTATTTTGCATTTGTTATGTTGCTGTTGTTTATGTTCTTCTGTGTTTGGTTTAGTTTGTTGTGTTTTAGCTGTTTGTCAAAGCACTTTGTAAACCTGTGTTTTTTAAAGGTGCTATATAAATAAAGTTATTATTATTATTATTATTATTATTATTATTATTATTTTGCTATGGATGCCAAATAATGTTTTGTACCATGTAGTAAACATGTAAAGAAGTTTTTTTCTCTATCAAATTGCTTCCTTTTTCAACACCATTGGTTGCTGCTTTGTTGGTACTCTCTGAGTTGTCCTTAATTGACATTGAAAAGGAAGGCTATAGGCACTTTTTCCTTTTCCTTATGACTTGTTTAACATGGCACCTAATTAATACACTTGTTTCTTTGTCTTTTCTTTTCTCCAACAGAAAAATTCATGCTGTCTGAAGTGAGAAACATCATGGCATGTGTTCATAACAAAGTACTCCACAGAGAGAAAACAAAGCTCAATGCTTTTCTAGAGTAAGAAAATAAATAATATATCACATATTTGCTTATGGGTCACAAAAAGTTTCTTGACTGTCCTCGTGTTTCTTCTTAATTTTGCACTTTATGGTATTGCATGTCAGAAAGTTTCACAGAAAGACAAACTCATTAATGAGCCCAGAAATAGGTATTGCATTCTATTTACTGCAACTTTCAGAGCTACATTCTATCCTGTAACACATTCATTTATCTTAATATTTATATTCTCCTGTTCAGACTATTCTTATATCTGCACTTTACAATGATGTGTGCATTTCACTAGTGAAAAAAAGTATTCACTATTGACTTTAATATTGTTAATTGGCCTTCATTGTGACAAATAGAATATACATATTCATTGAAGTCCCATCCCCCAACAAGGGATACCAGAAGCGATCCTGTTGTCTGTCTTTTTTAAACATATTCATAGGTTTGAAGTCAGGGAGTGTAGCAGCTGGGGTCCCCCAGGAATTGGTTAGAGTCGAACTCCTTTTCTCTGTATTTGGTACTATTTATAGACAACAATTTTTACTGTAATTGTCTGAAGTTTTGAGAACGAAACAAAATTAATGACTTAATTTACTACGATAGTAAACATCTGGCTTTGACTTCCTGCTTGAAATTCACAATTTAGCAAGATTTCAAGTGCCACCATTCACATGTGACAGCTGTGGCTCAGTAATAGTGTTAGTCATCTCTCAAACAGATGGTCGGGTTTTCGATTCCTAGCTCCTGCAGTTGTAGGTTGAAGCGTCTTTGGGCAAGAAACCAAGTTGCTCCTGCTGCTGTGTCAACTGTGAATGTGTGTGAATAGGATTCATATCTATATGGTACTCCATTATGTTCTATTCTAATGATAACATGATCCAATGGTGCATAAATGAAAGCAAGAAGGCAGACAGCTTAACAATTCAGACCTTTATTTATTTTATTTTTTTATACTTTTAATATTTGTCATACGAATAAACAGATTTGAACTCTCGTAACAGGGAAAAAATCTGTGATTTGGAGACAGAAAAGAGGGAGCTGGTTGGTGTCTTTGGAAGAACAGGGGCTGGAAAAAGCTCTTTGATAAATGCTGTCATCGGAGAGAAGGATCTCTTGCCCTCAGGAAGTGTCAGTGCTTGTACAACAGTCATCATTAAGGTGGAGGCTAACAAGCAGAACCAGAAGTATGAGGCAGAGATTGAATTCATCACAAAAGAGGTAAAACGATGTTAACATGAATATTTATCCTCCTTTAGAAAGTAATGAGGTAGCTGCAAAGATACTAACGCTCATTACATGGCTTCATCCATTTATTTCATTTAATCCAATTGAACTAAACTGAGTTAAGTATTTTCTTTTATAGGAATTGGAGAAGGAGTTGTGGTTCTTGTTCACTTTCATCCTGAATGATGAAGACTGCAAAGTTGAAGATGATGATGATTACAATGACGCTGTTGAAATGCTGTCAGCGCTGTATGGAGAAGAATGGAAAAAAAACCCTTCTGTGGAACATCTCATGAACGACAAACATTTCAGAGAAATTCGAGAATTTATCGTATCTAAGAAGAAAACCTTGACCTGTGAATCAGTAAGAAAGAAAAAAATCTACAGTATCAGTCTTATACCTACACGTATCCAAAAATGTGGTAACAGAAAGCTTTTTCGTTTTGTAATGTATAACATTTCAAACTCAGACATAAAGTGAAGTCTGTGGTTTAAATACTGCCTGGCTGTTCAAGTTTTGCTTAATTTTGGGGTAGTTCAGAAGCTGTTCATATAAATTAAGTATTAGTTGTAGATGGTCTGTTTAACTGCTTGTCATAATAAGGCGGTTGTACTCTTCAAGGTGCATTAAATAAATCTTTAATCTTGTTTTTCATGTTTCAGGCAAAAGAGCTGTCTGCAAAACTTGTGAAATACACAAGAAGCTCAAAGGACAGAGATGCTAAAGAAGTAAAGAAATGGTTTTGGCCCCTGGTGAAGTGTGTGACAATCAGGGTGCCAAATAATGACCTTCTCCAGAATGTCACACTTGTGGATCTACCTGGAAATGGGGACCGCAACAAGGGCAGAGATAAAATGTGGAAAGGGGTAAATTATTTAAATGCATCACTTTGTTAATCTTGTCTTAAGTTTAACATTATTTTATTACAAAGCACTGATATTGACTCCATTGTGTACATTGCTGTATTAATTGCATAACCTTTCTTTGATATTGACTGATATTCACGATTAACTTGGATTTCATCCTTGTAGGTGGTTCAAAGCTGTTCCACTGTGTGGATCGTGACGGACATTAACAGAGCAGCATCAGAGAAAGAACCATGGGAGATTCTGAAAAGTGCCAGCAGCCTTATGGGAAATGGTGGCCAGTGTCAGCACATTCACTTCATCTGCACCAAGTCTGATGTTATCGAAGACTCGTAAGTGATTTTTTTTTTTTTTTTTACAATAGATTTAAAGGTGTGGTCATGGTCTACTGCAACACATTTATTATATATATATTTAAACTATGTATACTTTGTTCGTATGTATGTAATTTTTTTTACTTTTATCCTGAGAGGAAAGAAAACCACGTCATATTAAAGATGTTGGAGATTGAATTTTCAAGGCTTCAGATAATGTATGAGGTTCAGCTTGATACTGATCTCTTCTTACAGTTCAGTAGCTGGCGTTCGTGCTGCCATATTTAAGAGGAACATGCAAGCAAAGGAAGAAGTGAAGAGAGAATTCAGGAAACTAAAGGGGGTTCATGTGAGTTGTGAAATTTCAAAGAATCTAGAAAAAAGATTTCCTTTAAATGCAGCCTGGCCTTCATTTATTCATTATTTTTTCAGACACATTTCAGTGGTGACTGTTTCAAAGTGTTCACAGTGAGCTCCAACAAGTTCCTTAAGGAGAAAAAGCTAGGACCAGATGAAACTGGTAGGTGAAGTCCATGCATAACTTTGTGAATAACACAATATATGTTACATGTGAGACGTTTCTCTGGATGTAATTATGTATGTATATATTGTATGTTTTTTTTATAGAAATCCCCAAACTTCAGGAATTTCTGCAAGAACTGAATGACTTTCACTCAGAGACACTGAAGTATGTGTCAGGAGCGTATGGGATTCTTTCCCTTATTCAAGGTGCCGGCTGTGGAGACGTGGTAAGATGAAATAACAGCATGACTAGGGAAAAAAACAAACTAAAAAAGGAGCAGAAAAAAGCCCAATGTGGCAAAAATACATTTGTTGTAACATTAAATGTTTTCTATTTGGTTTCAGGCTGGCGTAAAAGCAAATGTGTGCAAAGACCTTGAAGAAAACTTGGAACATGAAATAAGTAAAGTCTCTGAGACCATGATAAAGTCCTATAGGACTTTTAACAAGTGCCTCATGGAAGGTGTTGAAAAATCAAATAGTTCATGGGAAAGTGTCTTGAAGTCCTTCTTAAATCCCGTATGTATTTGAATATTTTATTCCTTTATCCAAACCACTGATTTTGCTCTGCATGTTAAAAAGTGAATCATATGTTTCATTTTTGTTTTGTTTTTGTTTTCAGAGAAGAGTAACAGGAAGAGCTTTATACGGGAGATTGAAGAGCATTGTTGCAAACAATGGTGTCTACAAACCAAAAAAAGGGAAACAATACAACCTCAATGAGAAATTAGCTTCAAAGCTGATGGAGAGCATTGATGAGGAATTTAGAAAGACCTTCCCGTAAGAACGTACTAAATGAGGAAAAGATAATACCTCTTCAAATGGCGATTATAATAATAATATAATAATGTGTGCAATGGTTATTTAAAGTAATTAAACTAATTTAATATACTAAGTAACGTTATATAAATCAAATTCTTCCATTTGAACTTTGTCAATATTTGATCAATGAAAGATTTACTTGTTAACATGTTTCAGAAATGAATCAAAATGTGAACCATTCAACGGGGCCATCAGTTCCTTTTCACTCGTCACAGGGACTCTGGTTGAAAAGTACAGAAAGTACAAAGGTGTGCAGCTGCAACTGGAATTTCTCAGGACAGAGGTAAGAGATGGTGATGGTACCATCTTATCCAACAGTTTTGTTTTAAGCTGTTTGTCAAAGTTAAAGGAAACACAAAAAATTGTGTGATCAGATCAACCAAAACATCCTCTATATTGACATATTGAATGAAGATTAAGCATTTCAGAGTGAAGCCAAATAAAATATACAAGTTTTTTACATATTAACATTTATATTAATTTCTTCTTAAGAACACCATCAATGAGGTACATGTTAGCATTACAGATATACTGTACATGTAGTTTTTATTTTATTTTAAAGGAAGAAAAAATTAAGACAAAAGTCCACAAAACAATCCGGGAGCAAAAGAAAGAAATCTACAGCAGCCTGATGACTTCAATCGAGGAAAACATGCAAAAGTGCTTTAAAGGTAAGAAAGAAGATCTTGGCATATGAAACCTGACACTTAATCAAAACAAATGTCAAATTTGCATTTATAAACATTTTCTGTTTCACTGTAGATGCACAACAATGTAGAGGCAAAGGCTCTCTACATGCCATGAGGGACATCATTGAGCAGCATGTTCGTGCCAAGAAGGACGTCATGTTCGAGGAGGCTAAAGATGCGATGATTTCAAATCTGCGAAACCTAATGGTTTGTCAGTTCGTAATTGATCATACATGACCTTATATGATTGTTATATAGTAAGACACGTTGTGCATCAAGGCTTTTCTTCATTGAAGTAGAATGTACATCATTCTGAAGATAGTTTTTGTGACTCCAGTTTTACAAACACACAAAAGCTTTTGTCTATTAAAGACCTTTCTGCTGTCAGAACAGCCCAGCAAAGACATATTTAAACAGTTAATTTATGTATTATCCAGTTAGTCTTGAACACTATTTTTATATGTGCAGGTAATATGTGTGTAATTCTGATTTAGGAAGACATCCTGAAGACACTGAGTGAAACTATGCAGAAGTCAATTGAGCTATCACTCAAGACCGATGGTGAATCACTTCCAGGTAATGTGAACGTCTAAAAATACAATTTGTTTTTGCTGTTATTTTCTCTGATTATATTTTCTCTGCTGAAAAATTAAACCCAAAACTCAAATAACTTTGTTAGCGTCATATGTGGAAATATGTTTTACTTTTGATGTGGGTCAGTCACATGGGTGTTGCTTAATGACTCAATAGTGTCCCCTCAGACTTTATTAAGCTAAACAATCAAACTGCACATTTTACTAATGTAATTAATGTGTGTTGGAAAGCTGTCACGTTCAGACCTACATACAAGCACGTGATATCTACACTGTAAAGATGTATACAAACAGGGAGTTCATACAATCAATAATAAGACATTTCCCCATGAAACAAGAAGCCGTGGCCCAAATGTCAGGTTAAATGTCACTCCAGACCTAAAGAAATCTTCACTCACCGGCCACTTTATTAGGAACAGCTGTTCAACTGCTTGTTATTGTAAATATCTAATCAGCCTATCACATAGCAGCAAATCAATGCATTTAGGCATGTAGTCATGGTCAAGATGATCTTCTGAAATTCAAACCGAGCAGCAGAATGGGGAAAAAAGTTGATTTCAGTGACTTTGAAAGTGGCATGGTTGTTTAGTATTTCAGCAACTGCTAATCTACTAGGGTATATATTTTCACGCACAACCATATCAAGGGTTTACAGAGAATGGTCTGAAAAAAAGAAAATATCCAGGGAGTCAGTTGTCTGGGTGAAAATGCCTTGTTGATGCCAGAGGTCAGAGGAGAATGGCCAGACTGGTTCGAGCTGATAGAAAGGCAAAAGTAGCTCAATTAACCACTCGCTACAACCGAGGTCCCTGTGTGCTAATTGAGCATCGTTCAAACGCCACAGCCATTGTTGCTGACCATGTCCATCCCTTTATGACCACAGCGTACCCATCTTCTGATGGATACTTCTAGCAGGATGAAGCGGCATGTCACAAAGCTCACATCATATCTAAGGATTAAAGTAAAAAAAAATATTTTGACTGAAAATTCTGAATGTATCAAACAAGTAGCACATCATCACAACATCTAGGCTGACAGATATGACCTTGCTTCTTTTTAACAAATGAGACCTACAGTCAGGTGCCTTGTATGCCTATATAAATTAACAGTCACAGCAGGTGTTCTTTAGCAAACTCTAAAGAAGCGAAAGTATGACAAGATACTAAAGTAGATGAAAGTAGGGGGGGTCTGAGGGGATTCCCCCAGAAGAATAATTTAGTCAATCTAACATTAAAATGAAGCATTTTCGAGCATTTTGAGATCAGATCATTAGAAATGAGGACCTTGTTATGATATTAAATAGGACGGTGGAATAAGAAGCCGACTGTTCTTCACCTTAAGTAGCCTTAAGTAACAGAAATACCCTCTAACACGTTACAGAAGTTAGAGTACAAAAGCATCAGACTGAAGTCTGGAGACACAACTTTGGAAAGATTGACCTTTTACAGAAAATTAATTATATATATATATATATATATATATATATATATATGTCCCTCATTTTGTTGTCACGGCTACAGCTAAAGCTAATCCTACTTGATTAATATAAATTGTTTTTTATTTATTTATTTACATAACTGTAGTTGTATACCTTGTGAATTCCCTGGGCATATAATAAAGATTTTTGACAAATAGTGCATTATCCTATTTTGCATTATAAATTTGAATCCGAGAAGTAACTAGCAGACATACTTAAGATTTTCTATAAATAGTAAGAAGTTTTTTTTAAAGTAAAGAAGGCTTTTTAAAGTGTGTACAGAACTTAAGTATTGTACTTTATAACTTCCACCCACTCAGTCGTTGTGTGTAAAAAAGTAAACTCGTGATAGCTTGTTGAGCTAATATGACATGTAAGAATGGTGATTCATGTCGCGCGTTTCTCTGTGTGGGTAATGTGCTGTATCACCTGTTGTCTTGATGCTCGTTCCTAACGGAACACTCGGCGACTGTTTACTCGGCCTGCAGGTAATAAAACTTGAAAAACCGTCATGTTACTGATTATCATTCTCCTGTATTTCACTTTGGACGGGTAAATGAAATTGTGCACTGAAGCAAAACAAGTCCAGACATGACGGTGCACGCTGATATTTGCTACCAAAATAAAAGCGTCCTACACCATGTTAGTAGATGTTGTTGATTACCTTCTGGAAATGTCAATTTCGGACTTCACAACACATGCTTAAATTCAATTGCTGGTATATAAGAATGGTAGAAATCTAAGTAACGGGCATGACACCACTGTGTCTTAGAACAGTGAAGTTTCAATCAGGGACCTTCTGTGGTCACCAAAGTGCATTAAACTGAAATCCATTAACACAGGAAGTTACTTTTTTCCGTGCCTGAAGTTTAACTTTTGTGTTTTAGATGTCAAAGAGGAGCTTGAGACTGTGACAAAATACTATCAGGAACTGAAGAAAAACACACATGAAGGAACATCACAAGTCAGGTAAAACTTTTGTTTTTTAAAGTAGATAATGCTCTGATTTTAAACTGTAAGAAATTGCTTCACTTATTTTTATAACAGTTGCTAACAATGCTTCTATTCACACTAGTGCTGATCAACCCGGCCCGTCATCTGCACAGGTAAGTTTAAGTAAAAGTGATGATTAAAAGTTAACATTCTGGTAGACAATGAAATGGTAATATGAAAGTTATCAGTAGAATATCACAACCTTTGTGTTTAACTCTCTTGTGGATATTTCAGGTTTACCTGATGCAGAGAAACAGCTGAGGCCTGTTTAACCACTGAGGATCCCACAGGGAACATTGAAAAGTCAAACGAGGCTTCTGGATTTGGTCTCAACCTTTTCTTCAGGTTGTTATTTCTGCTCTCTTTTGTTGACATGTTTGATGTGCGTTTCAGAGATGTTAGATTAGTGATAGGACAGTTTTCCTCTTGATTAGTTGTGGTGGGCCTCAGGCCAGAAATTGCAATGGGTGGTGGAGGGTCGGGGGGATGTTGTGTTTTCATGATAATCGTTTTTTTTTCGGCCTTTTTGCCTTTATTAGATAGGACAGCTGAAGAGAGACAAGAAATATTGGGAGGAGAGAGTGGAGGGATGACATGCAGCAAAGGGCCAAGGTCGGATTCAAACCCACAGCTGCTGCTTAGGAATGTAGCCTCCGTACATGGGACGTGACATAACCGTTAAGCAATCCAGCGCCCCTTTCATGTTTCTACCATTTTTTCAGCTAGACATCAACTTCTTTAACGTTTAACGTTTTTTAATTCTTGAAGATGTGTTTTTTTGTGAGTATTTTTATTTTATGAATTTAGAAGTGGATGATTTGATGTACTCCCTGCAGTTTCACTGATTATTACTGCATCTTATTAAATCTTGAACCTTAATCAAAGAATTAAGATTTTAGGCATTTCAAGGGCTGATCTTGTTCTTTTGTGATGATTAAGGACAAAACTGTTTTTACTGGGATACAAAACTTAAATCTGTGATGATATATTAAGGGTGAAATAGAAGTTAATTTTATTATTAGACCAACTTTTCTTGCTTCCTGATATGAACTGTACAACGTTTTTTTTTAAATGTTTTTAAGTCTTCACTGATTATAAATTGATTATGGCACCTCATGCAATAAAACTCCATAAAATGTAAATGTTGTTACCTTTTTATCTTTAATATGAATCTGATATAAAAGTCCTGCAGCTGCCCAAAAGATTTCCTTTCAAACCCAACGTGTTGTAAATACACAGAAGATGCTCATTTAAGAGACATGTTGGGGTTTTATGTTATAAGTGATGTTGGGTTTTAGATCAAAATGTGGTTATTTAATTGATATTAATCATTATCCTTAATAAATTATTAATATAAATTAACAATATTATTCAACTTGCACTAATAAGAACAGGGCACCACCCTGAAATCACAAAACCAGTCTCGAATTAATTAAATACTAATATTATTCATAATTAATAACATGTATTTAATAAATTGAAGGTGTGAAATCCGAACACTAGCCCTCGCACCCAGCTTATATCACAATGCAAATACACCAGTAATCACAAACAACTGCTCTCTTAACTTAAAACAGAATTTATTTAACAAGCAGCATCAACTGCAATCAATGAAACTCAATCAAACAAATAACTACTATAAACTAAACTACAGCAAACAAAGTATTTACAAGCAAACGTGTGGCACGTGTGTGTGTTTGTATGTGTGTGAGAAAGAGAGAGAGGGATAGGAAGAAGCAAGATGGCGGGGCAAGCACCATGTAGTGACGTCACATGGGGCAAAATGGTGGACAACAAAGGGAGCTGTGGTTTAGTAACTATAACATAAACACCAGAAAACCAGTGAACGGATTCAACGGCAGGTACACTGGTCTTTCTGATGGTGAAAGCAGATAAGAGATAAATCATTTTCTACACATATCAGAGTGGCAGTTGCCCTTAGTTTAAGCTATTGATTGTTTTATATAATAGTTGTGTTGCCTTTCTTTCAACACAACAACTGCAGGCAGAACCTGTTGGTCTGCTTTGTGGACATACAGTGTGGTTCATCAGTGTTCCTCATATAAACCTGTTCATGAGTGACATTTAAAATCAACTTAGGAAAATGTAATAACTGTTGACTGCAAAACCCTTTCAAACCTTTAATTAAACTTAATGAAAAGAACATCCCAGCCCAGATAACTTGAGCCACCAAGTCTACCAGTTAATCATGTTTATAGAGGTATAGATAAAAATGTCCAAGTTAAACTAGAATCCTGCTGTACACAGTTAACCCTTTCACTGCTGGTTTACAAAATGTTTCCTTATTAAATACTGTAGCTTTCAGGTTTGAAAAATCACTTTACAGCAAAAAGCTTTTATCGTTTATCTTCAGGTATATTGTGTGGCAGGTCTTTAATAAAGCGAATGTACACAATCTGAAAGTCAGACTTATTGTACTTCATATTGATGACTTTGGAAAATGTTATTCCCATCTTGTGCACGTTTTTTTAAATATCTCTTTCTATTTGGGAAATAATGACAACTCTTTAATGTGATAGGATGTTATGTTAGCGTTGATGAATAGGTGTAAATAGTTTGGTATAGATAAATGTAAATAAAAACACATTTACTGTAAGCATTTCAAAACTGGTTATGAAGGTTTGCATGAGGGTGGTTGCGTGAGAGTCAAACAGATCTGACAGATAAAATAGTTACTGCAGGACTAGATTTTGATCTTTGACCACATAATGTAGGTGTAACTTGGCTCGCCATCAACCTTCAGAAATGAGACGAACAAGCCCTCCCTGTACTTTCAACAACTAATTATCTCTCTTCCTGGTGCCAATGGGTGAGATACTTTACATATCAGGCAGGAAGGTCATTATACAACATGATTATTTGTTTGCTAGAAACTACTGAATTTGTGACAGCTGGAACAAAATTCAAAGTCCGCGGAAACGCGGCTTCTCCTACGTCCTCCTGTTAGTTTTAGCATTAGCTGCATGTAACTCTTGGTTCTAGCCCCCCTGGAAAAAAAATTGTCAGTGTGACGTCTTGTCAGTGTGATATCACTGATCTAAGCCCATTGGCTCGTTGTGACAAGCCCAGCAGCTCATGTTGTATGCCCGTTAACTTCTGTAGCACGCCCACGATATGCCGTAGCCTGCGGTAGCACAGTAGTCCTAAGGTGCTAATGTTTTTGCTCCCCGGCCCTCGGAGTCAGAGTGGCTGAGCGACTGATCAATCACGACAGAGCTGACAGGCCAACCAATCAGATCAGACTTGGCACACGTGGGGACTCTGAACGTGGGCACTTCAGAGCCTTAGAGAGAGAGTCAGAAGCGAGCCGGTGCATGGAGCGGCAGTACGAAAACAGACACTTTTTTCTAAATTTTAGCTATTGTGAACATACTTTAGTAGGTACATTGATTAAATATATGAACCCCAAAAAGGGCATAATATGGGCTCTTTAAAACAGACTTCACTTATCCCGTGCGAATGCACCGCACGAAACACAGAGGTGGTGGGGTAATTTCTAAATCACGAGGTCCTCAGGTAATACTAGTCCCGTGCGAATAGGGCTAAAGATGTATTAAAAGTTTAAGAAAAGAAGCGTTATAATATATACACTTTAATGCAAACAGCTTAAATGTCTAAACTCTGACAAAAATGAATGTAAATGCTATTAAGCAATAAAAAGAATAAACCGAACTCATATTTAAAGTGAAGAGGAGAAAATAAATCTCTTCAATTAGATTTAAATGAAATGTTTTATTGCCAAAAGAAATGCACAAGAGCTTTCATCGTCATTTCATTTGCTCCCTTTACCGTCAGTGAAAGTCCAGCACAGTCAAGTAATTTAAGAATTCATTCCAGACATAGAAAAATAAATAATTTGCCATTTGAAATAAAGAAATGAATTTGTTATTTTTTTGTATTTAAGAGAGCTTAGCAGTGCCAGCCAAAAACATCAACACACTAAATTCTGACACAGAACGTAGGGTCAGTGTGGTATCACAGTGACCGAGTGGCTGTTCAGATTTATTCACACATGGGTAAATAATATATTCACTTACAAAGAGTTAATCAGACAGTTATTCTTGACTTAGGCAGTGACAAATAAAGGAACAATATGTTTTATATGGCCTTAAAGATCACATATTATCCTCCTTTTTAACCAGTTTAAATAAGTCTCAGACCTCCCTTAAAACATGTGTGTGAAGTTTCTTGTTCTAAATCCACTCTGATCCTGTATTTGATCATGTCTATAAACCCCTCTATTTCAGCCCTGCTCAGAACAGGCTGTTTGTGTGTCTGTACCTTTAAATATGTAAATGAGCTGTGTCTGATCACGCCCCTCCCTGGAAGGGGATGTAGCTAGGGATTTCTTGCACCATGTCCAATAGATTACCTTGAGAAGACAGACTCAGAGGGCAGAACAAACACCTAGCTGTGGGAGTGTCACCCACCTGCGGGAGGGGTCACTGCCCTTTGTTATGTCATGAAGGGACAATCTCCAAACAGCCTGTTTAAGCACACATTTTCTAAAAAGTGGAGCAGACAAAAGACGGAGACGATGGACTTTGCTTATAATAGGAGGGTTTGTAGATGGACTAGGGACACATATTAGTATTAGAAAAACATAACATGGTAAAGTGCAGTTTGCATAATATGTGACCTTTAATAATTTCGCTTTACAAAAAAGAATCTTCACACTGAGTGTCATATGTGAAACACGCTAAAACGTCTCACAGAACTGAAATATCGGCACCATTTGTGAAACACATAAAGCACAAACAAGGAATACTCAAAGCCCTTAAACACGAAACAAATGAACAATACTATGAACTGTACTATGTGACTCAAACCGACTGTTTTAAAAGCACATACAGCTCTGTGAATGAGAGTTACGAAACAATTATGGTCAATATATGCATGCTTAAATACTACAGAGAGCAAAGGAATAGTTCTTAGGCACAGAAAAAACATTTTTTACTTCAACTCTGAATCTTGCACTTTAGTACAGATACTCCTTTTTTTACTTTAAACAAATAAAATGCACCCACCTGTTCATTAAAAATACTCAAGCTACGTGTGTTTAAGAACAATCGGTTGCTAAAGAAGCTATTTTAGCAGGCTACAACAGTCAGAAACATTGGCTTTGTGGTGGTGTAAATCAATGAGCGAAAGTGTAGAAGAAAAAATACAATCATTTGAATTCCAGAAGCTAGAATACAGACGATCATTTTGTTAGCAGCATTGTCTTAAGTTTCAGTGGTCCAACGTTTGTATTCAAGGACTAAAAATTCAAGTTCACACATCGAGGCATGTTGAGTCACAGGTTATCCAAGAGAGTGCTGCTTCTTCAGGCTGTCGGAGCGCCTCACTCTCTCCTCTGGGGTCCTCTTGTACCAGCTCCTGAGAGGAAACAAACACGGGAAGATTGTGATGACTTTAAAGAGACAGTAAGTCAAAGCTGAAATGCAATGACTGTATGAACAATGTTTCAGTTACTGAAGGGTGATGGAAATTACATTTTTGTATTTGAAATGACATGTATGTGTTGTGATATTAATCACAACAGGAGAAACCCCACAAGCCAATCAAGATTTTAAACTACATGTAGCAGTTTATTTGTTTTAAGAAGTCAAGATGTGACATTTTCACAAAGGGTCAAAAAGTTAAGCATGGTGTCTCACCCTTGGCGATTCAGCTGGCCTTGGATGGGAGAGTTTTGGCCTTGGTTTGGCTTCAGTACTCTGGAAAAGGAAGATATAATATATGTGGGGGAGAAAAAACTTCCTTCAAAAAAGTTAAACAAAAAATAAAAAAGCTGTTGAATTTCCACCGCTTTGTTTTTACCTGTTGGTTGTCGGGCTCTTTGGCTTCTGTGGCATCTTCCTAGCCTGAGCTGGGGAGTGACCAACCCTGATGGAGGGCCAAATAAAAACAATAAAATAACTTTTTTTCATTGGATCTCATACAACAACAACAAAAAAAACATTATAATGTAAAACCAGTAAGGCAATTGTCTTCTTTCAATCCCACCTCTTTTTCCGGTCCAGAGACCTCTGTGTGGCAGCAGACAAAACCACTCTCTCCTTGGGGCATTTGGCTTTCTCCTACATTTGGTAAAGAAAATTAATGTTTAGTTCATGATGGAAGTATGGAAATTGAAAGCCTAAGAGAGAGCATGTTACTAAGCTGGAATAAAACATTGACGTCCCAGACAGTCCACATGTAAGTTTGTGAATTTTGATTTATGTTTGTGTATTTGTCCCCCAAGTAACCAGAAGGTACTCTTTTCTCAACTGACTTGTGCTTGAAACAAAAAGCCATGGCTGTCTTAATTATTCCACAAATTGAAAAGACAAGTGCATGGATCGCATTCTACAACATAAACTCAAGAACAAGAACATGTGTCACATTCTTCTTAATCATGTCTACAGGAGGGATTTCTGTCGTGTGTTTTCAAGGTACCATGTCTCGTAGTTTCCTCTCTGCTCGCAGCTCCCTGTCCTGCTGCAGCAATGCTAACCGTTCCCCCAGAGGAATTTCGAAGAAGATGTCATGGACGTCATAAAGGGCTGCACGTAACTGAGGCGGGGAAAAAAGATACACACATAAACACAGAGCATGACTGACCTCTGCTGTCCATAAACAGTACACATTGATACCTGGGCTTTCAATCTCTCCTGCAGGAAGCGATCGTGTGCTTTAAAAAAAAATCATTTTCTTGACAATCTAAAGCTAAATGGACTCAGTGAAAAGTGTTTTGTTTCTTGTGATTTTCTTGACTATAACATGCTCATTTACTTAATGTAGAACACAGTTAAAGAAAGCTATGAATTCATGTCAATTTCAGTCATTTTTGGTAATTTTTTTTATACATTTTGAGTGCTCTTGGTACAATTTTGGAAATTTCTTTGGGAGCTGCTGAATCAGCCTGACCACTGATTACTGATAAGTGTCGCCTGCGAGTGACTGTTGAGTTTGTTTGCCTGAAGCCACTGAGGAAAGGCTTTATCGGAGAGCTGTCCTGGAGTATTTCAGCACCCACACACATGACTGAGGGTGAGTGTGTTTTTTGATGTAATGTTTGCCCATAAACACAGAGCATGACTGACCTCTGCTGGGTAAAAACAGTCAGTTCACTTTAATACCTGGGCTTTCACTCTCTCCTGCAGGGAGCGGTCTTGTGGTGAGCAGGTGCTCCTCTTCTGAGGACCCTCAGTCTTGAAGGAACGGATGAACTCCTGCGTATCCTGGGTACACATATATTTACAGGTAAAACTCAAAACATAGAGGTCTATATAACAATTTGTGTTTTCTATTAATGTACTCATGCTGTGTGTATTTTTGTATGTAAGAGTTTAATCTCACCACGATGGTCTGGCGCAGATGCTTGACCTTCTCTGTCTTAAGCAGTCTGCGTGTGAGGAAGCCACGGATGATGGCTCCAACCCGACAGAACGACCTCTGCTGCTCTGCTGTCAGAACCTGGAGCGCACCGCAAGACGATGCCAGGATAGGAACATAATTATGGTTGTAGTATGAAGATCATCTCATGTATAATCATCAGGCATTCTCAAACACTCTCTACCCACCAAACTTAGCCTCGCTCGAGGTTTGTTAACTGCCCACGTGGGTCCCCACAGATAGATGGGAGGCTGGACAGAGGGAGAGGACACACTGGAACTTCCAGGACTGGGGAAACCTTGAGAACAAAACAAATGGATACATTTACAGATTTCTCCTGACCATCCAGTCTTTTGTCACCACTGTTTTCAAACATCATCAAAGTAATAAGTGAGCATGTTGAAGTGGTACCTATACTGTGTCCAGGCGATCGCTCAGATGGTGTGTGTGCAGGACTTAGTCCAGGGCAGGAGGGGCTCACAACAGGACAGCTGTCAATCAGAGACCTACAGCTCCACCCACAAGCGTCTGCACTCAGAGGCCGCACACAGCCCTGCTCCTTCAGTCTCCTCTCTGTCTCCTCAAGCTCCTGAACATGTGTTTACAGCAGACACACCTCAGCACTTAAAGCCAATAGAATTTACTTTACATTCCACATTTTTACTACACAACATTCATTTAGTAGATTTTTTTTAAAATTCAACTAGCTGATAAAATACCATGGTCTAATATATATATAAATACATCTAAATTAGAAATATATTAAAATAAAATGAGAAGAAATTCCCTTTTTTGGTTTAAAAAAAATATATTTTGTAGGATTCCATGTTCTGACCAGACGGAGGCGCTGTTGCTCCCTCTCCTGCTCAACCAGGAGCAGTGACATCTGCAAGGCATGCTCCTCCTCCAGGCACCGCTGCATGTCCTCCAGAGCCTGCGCTCGTCGCTGAGTCTCTTCTGTGCATAAAAAAAAAAAAAAAAAAGCATCTCTTTCCTCTCTGTCATACAGAATTTAAGCTGAACGCTGCAGTGGGAGTTCCCAACTAGATTTTAGTGAGGACACAACACATTACAGGAACTATTCAATAGACTCTCACCCGTTTTGCTGCTCTGTGCTTCAGCTGCATTTCTGAACACACCTGGTGTGATCTTTCCTCTGTTTGTCCCATGAGGGTCTTCAGACTCCATCCTGAGTTTGAGCTGAGGCCAATCAGGATTAATACAGGGCCTTTGTAAAGATGGTGAGGGATTATCTACATCATACGACTTGTTTAATGGGGCTGCAGATGTTCGCCAGCTTGGAGCCAACCTTGTGATTCCTGCCATGAAGCGAGGAACCCTTTCCTGGCTGCGGTCTATGTGTTCAACTCCAGGGTGTTGGGCTTGCAGCTGGCTGTCCAAAGTGTGGCAGCGCCGGCGAAATCCTGCAACCAGATGGTCGTGGTGTCCCTTAGGGCTGAGACCAGAGGCACTGACGGGGCTAAAGGTCTCCACTGGACTGTTGCCACAGTGACTGGATCGACGACTGCCACTCCTGCTGATACCCCCAGCAACTTCACTCCCAGCTGAGCCCTGGTCATCGGTGGCCCCTAGGAGAGCCTCCCCGAAATCTGCCACTCCAGCACCTTCCATTGAACGTCCAGGGCTGCGGGGAATAAGGTCCGCTGGGCCGATGGGAAACGAAATATGGATGTTCCCTGTAGAGACTGGGCGTGGTCTTCGTCTCTGTGGGCGGGGACTAATGCTGGATTCTGGACTTGGGAGATTGGCATATCTGTCAGGTAAACCAGGTGAGAGGCAGCCAGACTGTTGGGGACTTGGGTTGTACAGAGTTTGATGCTGGATTTGGGTGTTAGGTGGTCCAACAGGGCTATGGTGCAGACTGAATCCAAACTCCACTCCTTTGTCCTCCACAGGAACGCAGCTCTTTTTCTCCTTGTCCGGGACGGTCTCAGGTTGGAGGGTCCGGCTGACTTTGTGGACTACATTTGACCCTTGCTGACTCTGCTCTCGCTTCACATACTCCCTTGATCTCTTAAGAAGGCTGTCCAAACTAATGTCCTCGTCCTCCTCCTCTTCCTCCTCACTCTTCTCTTCCTTTTCCACCTTCACCTCCTCCTCTGCCTTGTAGCCATTGAGTATGGGTGCCACAGAGCAGGTGGGAGTGTCAGGCAGAGTGTTTGTGTGTAACCTAAATCCAGGGTCTTTGGGAAATCCAGGAGAGTCCGTGACCAAGGTGTAGCCAGTGACTGTGGCAGATTTAGAAACTGGCAGCTTGTCAACCTCTTCATTTGGTTCTTTATGTGTCTGTGCAGAGACAAAAAGTAATGATGACCAGTCCACAAACAATCCATTCATCAATCAGTTATGTGTGATACTGAGTGTTGGTTCTCTGAATTCATCTTTAATTAATAATTTAAACCCAGTAGTAATCTGACACTAGCCTTTACACATCTGAGATAACCTCTATCACAGATTCTGCATAGAAATGTAGAATCGGTACACAGGGGTCTGGGTTTCCAGCATGGGACGTGTTCTGGTTTCTTTTTGTAGTCCATTTGTAGTCCAGGCTGAACATTATCCACACTAACAGGCTCACACCACTGAAGTGAGTCTGAGTGAAACCTCTGTATAGCTTAGGTTGTCCTGTTGAACTGAGACTCAAAAGCTGAACTTGTTGTTCTCCTCTGACATCGTCATGGACCGAGAAATAAGAAACAGCGGCGTTTACGTTACAGACATAAACCATGCACGGAAAAGGAAGTCTTGCCCTGGAAGTCGTTTGACACGTAACGCTAGCTTCACAGGAATTGGTGCAAAATCATTTAAAGATACAGTAACAACAGATAACAAGCCTATGAGGTGTTTCAAACACCATTACAATAAAAATAGAACTTATCTGTAATGATTACATCTGTATTACTTTGAATGTTCAGCTGACAGAAAAAGGCCATCCTCAGTTATAAATAGCACAGCCTACCGAAGGCAGTGTTGAATCACACAACCTGCATTCAAGTCTGCAAACGTCTCAACAGAGTTTGTGACAGACTGTAATTCAGGTTTTGTACGATGTCATGGGACTGACACACAGACCTATTTCTCACGAGGGAACATAATGATGTATCTTAATGTTTTATTTTCTTAACAGAGAACCTGGGATATGGTATAATGCTTACTTTTTTGGGAATTAACTGTTTTTGTTTCCTCATATTACCTATTTAACTCACAGTAGGAATACAAAATATTGAATTAGTTTCACTAAACATCTTTCATCCGGCTACAGACCAGTCCAGGTCTCAGATACTCGTTGAGTATGTTAACAATGAAATGTTAACATGTGTATAGATTTATAAGGGGTATCTTCATTAGCAGTACAACAGTTATATACAGACTGCTATAACGATACAGATACTGACCCATACTAGGCTACTGACCTGAACTTGGTTCAGTATGTCCTGAACCCGGGACAAGAGTCTGTTCCTCTGCTGGTTCTGTCTGTCCACCTCCAGCTGCACCGCCTTCCCTCTGAGGTCACACATCTCACTGAGCTGCTCTGCGCTCAGCTGGAGAAAGAAAATACATTTTCTCAAACTGATTTCCAAAACATGTTTTAGTTACAAAAGCTACAGAGTCGATCAACAATGCATGAGAAATGATGAGTCAGGAAGTTGATTTAAGAAGTTATCAATTCACAATATATTACTATGAGGTTTGTTTGTGACTTCTTCTCAGTTAATGCAACAAAAAAACACAAACAGCCCTCTCCACTGTCTCTCTGTGGAGGCGTCCTCAGCCTCTACATCATGTCTGCATCCCTGAAAAAAACGTGTTTGGTCAGCAGCCACAGAGAGTCAGTGGAGCCACAGTCAGGAGATAAATCCTCCTGACTAACATCAAACAGCCTTGGTGTCAATTATCTTCCCGACTGCTGATCCAATTGGGACTGCTCAGACCACATGCTTTTAGTACAGTATGCAGACCTCAAAAGCCTCATATGTGTTTTCCTATTAATATTACCTTCAGTTTCTTATGAACCATGACATTTTGTAGCTCTGTTTAAGTTTGAGTTATGCTGATACATGTGTCGAAACATCCGTTTTGCTGTTGCAGTAACTTAACAGTGTAGGCAATGCTCTCTCTTGCTCACATATTGTTTGGACCACACAGCAACAGCAGGACAACGTCACATGTGCAGACCCTCTTGGGAGACCAACCAAAAATCTTGTCATAATAAATCAGAGCCACCTTTCTGACGAAAAAAAACCAACTTATGCTGGATAGCAAGCCATCTGCAAACCTCTCTAAACATCCATTGTCATCCATAGATTTGATTATTTTAAGAAACTTGCATTATTATCTTCAATGTGTGTTGACCCTTCAGGCAAACATCAAATGCCCTGTTTATTTTTCTTCTTACCAGAGGCGAAAGCACAGCTCTTCCATGGAAGCGTATGGCAGAGCGAGCCTTCAGGGACCTCGGTGTCTCACATGTCGTCTTCTTGAGTTTCCCCTCCTCCCGCAGTACGGCCAAAGTCCGCAGACAGAACTCCTCGTAGCTTTCCATCTCTGGGCTCCCACACATCCGCGTTTAGAATAGGTAACACACACCATGTAGCCTCGTCATCCAGCTGTTAAATCATAACGAGAGAGTGTGCATTAAGTTGATGCCCACAATTCACTGGACATGAGAGCTCAGACTGCCCTGGGTGTGGATGACCGGGATGATAAGTGGAAGAGCAGGACAAATCTCCTGTAACAAAGGAGGCTCTGTCTGCCTTTAGAGGTTTAATCACACTCGTCACATTCCTGCCATTCCTTTCTATCAGACCTTGCTGGTGACTGACTCATCATGTGGAATCATGTGACTAATCAATACTACTCTATTCCTGACATACCTGTCAGCAAATGCATGGTAAACTACAGACCCTTCATATCCAGGTAGTGTAACACAGGGCGTTAGCTGTGGAGGTAATAAACACAACATTTTAAATCTTTAGGCATAGAGTGCATTCAGTAACATAGCCATGATTTGGTTTTAACTCAACCTGGGGTCTTTACGATGACGTCAGTAACCTAGTGGTCTTCACCTAGTAACAGTCGTTACCGCACACTGATTCATGACAGCGTGACAACACAGTAGAGATGGAGAGGTTTCCTTGTTACCCTGTTATAACACTGACAATACTATACTATTATACTAAAGGAGGTAATCTATTTGACGGTGCATTTTGAAGCCACAAAGACGTTCATGCACAGAGCTGCCTTTGCAGAATGACAGTTGATAACATCAGACTACACCGGCGTGTCCTACCTTTCACGATGGAGAAGAGGTGATGTCTCCTTTCGTCCCTCCCCAAAACACGACACCCAAAACGGCCGCAGGGACGCGACAAAGTGAGGCTACAACATGAACCTTACGTGCCTTCTCTCAATTCAATCTCGGGTTTCCCATCATCATCATCATCATCGTCATCCTCGTTTTCGACTCTTCCGGGCTCCCACAGCGCCTCCTAGCAACAGAACACGGGCCCCGTTCCAATTCGTTTCGCGGGAAACTGTTCACTTCGCCTGCTTATTAAGTTTCCATCATCTTCTGCAGCTTCATTCATTCACTTCAGCTTCAATTTATCAAGCTTTACGAACATGAATGTTGCGTGTCATATAAAACAGTAACAACAATGGTTGGTGAAAAGGTGTCACTCAATTTCTTAGGTTTGACTTTAACGAAAAGTGTGTGTGTGTGTGTGTGTGTGTGTGTGTGTGTGTGTCTGCGTGTGCGCAGTAAAGGAAACTGTACGAAAAAAATGGAACTAGATTTTTGACAAACAATTACCTCGACATTGATAGCTTGTGTTAAATCACATCATTTGTAACTGATTCAAAGAAATTTCTCTTTTAAGGTTTTTTGTGACACCACATACAGTCATAATTCAACTGCAATATTGAACCAAGCAGTTCCTCTTATACTAGTTCAGGGGTTCCCACACTTTCAGCCCGCGACCCCCAATATAATGTCGATAGAGACTGGAGACCCCCATTGTCCCTGGAGGTGGTTCAAACATTTGACGCACTAGGCCTCTCCAAACACTGGCAAGAACACACAGCAGCCCAAACACCATCATATTATTTTGTAATTTATTGTAAGAAACGACTTTTTTGTATATATTTTCAAATGAATGGGGGAAATATGCAATTTGAAACCATTTTTTAAATGTTTTTAGAAGGAATCATGCAACCACAACTTTTGGAACCACACTGTACTAGTGTATGATAAATGATCCTGTCAGTTTTTACAATACAACATAAAAATAATTAACTGCCTAAATGAGTTAAGTCAATGACACAATTTCGAACCTTCAGTGTTAATATTTATTTAAGATGACATCGATCCATATTTATAACGTACACTTTTATTTTAAGGTTGAACAAGTACTCTTATTTATGCAACAGTGTAGAGCCTTACTATATGCTACACTCAGAATCTGGGCCCGTGGTAATCGTGTCAAAAGTCCCCCCCCCCCCTCTATGTGAAGTATAATGCAGCCACAGTGTTTTCCATTGATTTCTTTATTATATACCTGCTGTAACTCCAAAACACACTTAACACAGTGTCAGGCCAACAATCCCTCAGGCATTCAGTCGAAGTGAAATGATATTATTTTCACAACTCTTCTCTTGAGTCCACTGGTGAACCTGAATGTATAGGTTGAGAAACGCGCACATTTTCCTTGTTGGCCTGAAGAAGAGCTTCGATGTCGCTGTCTGAGAAGCTGGTTTTGGAATCCTGAAACAAAAGTTTTATCATTTTAGCTCCAGTAGGAAATATTGTATCCATATATGAATAGTAATAATACGATGATACCAACAAGTTACCTCAAAAGACTTGCGTTTCACTCCCACACATGCTGTGGACTGCTCATAACACAGGACGACACTCAGATTCTTTGGCTCTTTAGTCAACAAGGCTTCATAGAACTGGTCATAATTAGAGTCTGGATGGGGATAGCATAATGAGTGCTTAAGTAGGGTGTTAAATCAAATGTTATTTCATGCAGATCATATCTTACCTATCAATTTCATGCAGGAGGAAACCAGTTTGTCCTTAGAGACATGGGCATGTTGGATGGAGTGCAGTTTCTTACACACACCGCCGTGGAGGAGTTCCTCTACTGCTGTCTGCCTCCTCTCAGCTGGAGCTTCCTTTATGGCTCTCTCAATCTCTGAAGAGCAGTAGGCATTAATAAGATATACAGCTGTAAATGATGAACAATACATGTGGCTATCCTAAAACATAAAGTCAGTATACTTTCAAACCACTGCTTCTGACTGTATAAGGCAGGGGTGGGCAACTGGCAGCCCAGGGGCCACATGCAGCCCCCATCAACCCTCAAGGTGGCCCTCAGGTCAATTTTTACACATCAATTAATCAGGAACATGAAGAAAACATGACTAAATCTGCCATGAAATCATGAAAGCCAGAAGTATGTCCATAATAATATTTGATCACTGGTATGTGAGTTAAATTGGAGACAAAATTGACTGTAATCGTTTTTTGTATGCTACAATTTGGCCCCTCTGGCAGTGAGAATTAAATGAATGTGGCCCTTGCTGTGACCAAAGTTGCCCACCCCTGGTATAAGGGAATCTGAACTGCAATCCATCATACCTTGTGCAGCTGATAGACAACTTTCACAATAGGCGTCTGTCCGGGGGAAAACAACAACAACAGTAAACAGTACAATCCAACAGGAACAAAAACTTGCCAAAGAACAAATACTAAAAGTTTTGAGGACGCCAAAGTTTGCAGAACTGCAGTGATTGGTTTACTTACTGTGATCTGTGTCCTTAGGCTGCACAGGGAGAGCAAAGCACATAAACATAAAGAGAATGAAGGTTTTCATCGTCACTGACTGTACACGGCTCTTTGGGGGAAAAGACGTTAAGTGAGAGCAGTCGACTGAGCTCACACTGAATCATATTCCCTTTCACAAAATGTGTTCACGTGATCTCCATGACAATAGAAACACGGCAGCATCATTCCTCAAATGACAAGCAGCAGGTTGTTCCGGTTCTCTCGGACTATGTCGAGCTATTTCTCACAGACTGAGCTGTCAATTATCTCTGAACAGAGGGGTCAAAAGATTTTAAACTCATATTTCAAGTTCAGCTGATGTATTTAAGGACAGAGCATGGCACAAATAAAGAAGAGGAAAAAGAGAAAATGAACAGTGAAACCATTCTTAAAATAAAAGATCAAATTAAGTAATTTGATGCAAATGAATCACTGGAACTATGTTCAAAACCAATTTCTCACCGGAGAGAGTGTTGCCTGATTATTTTGTTGAGAGTAACTTTCTGAGCTATATCGAGGTATCATGACCCGACTGTGAAGTATTGAAACAATATTTTAATATCCTAATGAACATTACATTTCCTAAAACCTTTACCAAGCAGGTTCAACTGAAGAAACTGCTTCTGAAACAGGTTACTACATTGTTTCTTCTTTTTCTTTTTCTTCTTGGGTGTAATAATGGTTATAAATATTAGTTTGAATTATTACTCAGATCAGAAAAGTGGCAAAACCAAGCAGCAAAAACACTCAATTAAAATCCCTTCACATATTAAAATTAACTTAAGTCAAAGTATTAAAAGTGTTCAAAAGTCAGAGCACTCATTATGCAGGAAAAGGTTCTCTGTCACTTTGTTTCTATTACTTGTACTATTTTGGGAGAATACAGCTGCATTACATTTTTTTTTAGCTTTAGTTTATATAATGATGCATTCATTTTGACTCCTTCTGCAAAATGAAAGCAGTGCATCAGACTGAATAAGATAATCATATCGCTCAGAAGCTGACTTGACTTGAGCCGAGTAAAACAGTCAAAGTTTGACCTTTGTATCAACTAAGCAAAGTTTTTTTTAACAGTTTATTCATGTGAAGAAGCGTAATTTCTTGGTCGAAAATTGAACACCTTAGAGGAATGTTAATTTAACTTGGACGAAGGGTTATTAAAAATTGTGATCTGAAAATTAACAATCTGAATCTGACAGATTAAGTGAAAGATATAAAAATGGCCTCTGAGACATAGTGGAGCCAGACTTTATTTTCAATCAAAGTCTGGCTGTTACAACTATGATTAGGTACACAATAACAGATAAAGTATAATTTAAAAGAAACCATAAAGAAAGTATAAAAAACAAGTAAACAAAACAGATGTTTAATCTGGAATCAAGACATGTATAGTTTTGTTTAGTTTGAATAAAATGCAGTCTTCAGTTATCTATTTTTTTAATGCATTCATAAAATAAGATAAGATAAGAAAAGATAATCCTTTATTGATCCCCAGAGGGACAATTCAAGGGTTGCAGCAGTAAAAGACCAGAAGAAGAACATGCATATGAGTACTAATACAATTAGAATATATAGGAATACAATAAAAATAAAGATAAAGGTACTATGCATTTACAACTATTATAAGCCAGTATTAAACCGTGGTCTGACTTTAGCGGAGCAGTAGTAGTTTTATCTATTAACTGTCCGTTGTAGTTGCAGACAGTGTCCACTAGATGGCGCTGTTGTATATTGGTAAAAAGTTTCATAGCTTTTTTTTTTTTTTGACAGCTCCCATATATGGTCATCTTTACCATATAAGGAATGACGCATGTGACGTCGACGTAGCAACGGAAAATATGACCGTGTGCGGGAAAGGCGAACGTTAGGAGCGACGTCCTCAGTTTGTAAATGTTCAAGTGTTTGTGAAGCGTCAACGAGCTGGATGTAAAGTCACAACAATAAACAACATAAACAACATAAACAACGTGACGGTCACCTCTTTCTACGCTGTCAGAGCCAAACATGTGAGTAGTCCGTCGTCTCTGTAGCTAATTATTTAAATGAATTTCACATGTGCTATACACAAGGTTTCTATTTATCTCTAATATCGTCTTTACTGTGGCGCAAACATCGTTTACATTTCAGTCAGCAGACATATATAAATTATATATTTCTACACGAAGAAGCTGTCAACAAAGTAGCCTTCTGTTGTTTGGCTTTTGTTTTTTTTTCTGAGGACTTCAGTAGCAGCAGCTAGCTTAATAACAGTATGGAGAGTTTTGGCCTTTTGTATTTATTAAACTTCTACTTTGACAAAACAGTAATAATTGGGAGAGATTTAAAATTGTTTCGTAAACACTGAATTTTGAGCCAACACCTGCTGTTTGGCTTTTTCATGGGACTTTACACCAGCAGAGCAAGAAGCTAGGGGTTTTATCCCACTACACTTCCGGGTTCAGTCTTGAAATTGTCTTGCCTACATGTGTAGCGGTAAATGCTGGCTAGTCCTAAGAAAAAATACGGTTTTTGATAACTGCTAAGGCAGATGAAAGATGTGTGTCATGATAGGCTGTGTAGTAACACATGGCTGGAGTCATGGCTTGAGGTGAATCGTTATTACCTTTGATGGAAAGTAATGTAGTGTTTTTCTTAATTCAGCTTTCGGATAGGCCTACTTAAAACTTTTCGTCATACACAGACTTTATACAAATACTTAATCGACAAAGTAAAGTGTAAAAATACAGTTGTGCAGTATTAAACTTATGCTTTGGCATTGGACAAGTTAGCACTGCTGTGTGTGGTTGGTGCCCCTGGTCAAATATGTCAAATAGACCCCACATGGTTGAATGTTTATAACAGTTTTAGGTCCAAAGATGTCAAATTATTCAACATTAAATTAGAAAGCCTCTGAGTAATGACTAAAAAGTGACAACATAGTGACTGAATTGTTTTCTTTGCTCTCCCTTTGAGGTTCTCATTCCTCAGATTCATTTTGTGACCTTTTTGGAGGGACTTGTATGCCAGTCTAGAACTTTTTCTTCAGAACTAGTCCTTTAACTTCAGTTAGATTTTAATGCAATGTTGTCTGCAATATAGAATCACAAGTTAAAGAACTAAGTGTTTCTTTCACCAATGGTTGTTGCCTATCTTAGTATTCTGCATGAAGGATACTGACCGAGAAAGTTTTTACAGAGGTCTTATCTTATCAGTAGGGTGTGAAGTGAACAAAGCTATTGTTGTCTTTTATAGAGGCATGACTTGCCTTCGGCTGTTTGACATCCAAAGGTTGCAACGAGATTGGATCCAAAGCCCATCTCATAAAGTGCACAGGCTGTTGTCCAGCAGATGGCGCCTTACCCAAAACGTTGCTTCTTTTTAAGTTACATTTGAAGTACACAGTTACCAGAAAAGGAAACAATTAGTGTAAAAAGACTCAAGTAAAAGTCATGAATTTGAAATTCTACTTAAGAAAAAGCATTATTGCAAAAGCAAATCATTCCCTTCCAAAGTGTTTCATGGACTCATCAAGATCCTGACAGCTATGTTTTCATCTTAAACAGTTCTTGTGTTGAAGAGACGTCTGATTTCATCATTCTCATTGTGACTTTATATTACCAGGAGATCTTTGCTCCTGCCTAATCAATGAGACACCTCTGTGGTTTTATGAGACCATTACTTTGGAATATAAAACCCTTGGTTAATGATTAGGCGTAAAACATTTAATATTCTCTAGTTGGAGGTATTAGATGTAAATGGAGCATAAGTTTAATTATTGTGTCAACATTTTACTGCAGTACTTGGGGAATACAATCCTGAGTATTGTTCATCATCTCTGATTCTCCTGCTCAGTTTTTTTATTTATTGATTTACTCTCTAGCTCATTGTTTTCTCCAGTGACGGACTGCAGGTCTGACCTCGTCACTGGATGTTTATGTTGAATGTGAAGCAGGAAATCTGTACTATTTGTGTTGTTGTTGCTGTTGTTTTGTGGGTGTGTGTTTACTGTTTTCACTATAGGTATGGTCTTTGATTCAAATGAAACATTTTATTAGAAATAGCAGAATCTTAGACTTTAAAGTTTGTTAAAGTGACAGCAGATACTGACTAAAACAGGGTTGTTTTTCCACTCTCTTTGACTGAGATGATAACTCATGTGTTGGTCATCTGTCTTCATCGAGCACTCAGCTTCAATTTTCATGACAATAAAAGCAAAATGCAACAGAAAATGAACGATTGTGTTCTTTGCATTTTAGTCACTTTTATAGTTATTTGAGCAATGGAGGCAGTATTTCTTATTTATTTTGTTTCCTAATTATCTTTTTGTGTGCAGTTTTCTTACAACTTTCTTACAACTTTCTTTGTATTGTTATTGACACCTTTGTGTCAATAACCCTTTTCTGTTTTATTAGTGCGCTTTTATTGGTCCAATCACACCTTGACGTGTTTGTAGTAACAATCCTGAACGTAGCAACAGTTGTTAGTTTGCAAGTTCATTGAAGTTTCAAATTAGAAAGTGATGTAGCCCTTTTTCCCCTAATGTTTTAGGGAACTAGTTTGGCCACAATATTCTGGAAATAAAACTTATATGTGGAGCCTATTTTGAGATAATTCAAGTAACTGATAAATATAAATTCAGTGGACTACATGTTTACAGACTTTTCTTTAAGGGTTTAGAAAAAATGTATTTGTTGGATAAGATTAAAGATTAAATTCTGATTGCCCCTGCAGTCAAACATGGAATAATAATACCTACTAGTACTACAGTAGAAGTGCTGTTCAGTTGTCATATTTGATCAATTATTATTGTTTATGTTTTTTTTGTTTTTTATAGATCATTCATGCTGTTACAAATAGATGTTTAAAGTTCCTGCCCTTTTGGTTTGCTTCTTGCTCTTTGTTGCCCCCTGTGGACAAAGCACTTTCTCTTTGCTGATCTTGTGTAGGCTTCATGTGTTTGTAGTTTGTTTTAATGAAAGCTCTTATTCTGTTTTCTGTTCACAATCAAACAAATCTCTTACTGTGGGTCATTGTGGTGGAGAATGTAAACAGAGTCTGTTTTTGCCATGTGTTGTAGGCTAGTTTTACATCAGACAAGAGCCGGCATCAAAAATCTCAATATAGACTTTTGAAATAGTCACTTATGTCACTGATGGCCTTGTTTATTGCAGGTTGTAGAGGCATTATATTAATTCTAGTGTGCTTCATTCATAACAAGCAAAAAAACAAAAAAAACTAATCTCAGTAGCTTTAAGGTTGTTTTGGTGGCAGATGTCGTATGTGACCTACAGTTATCAGCTGAATAGTCCTTCAGGTTTCCGTGTCAACCTAACAACAGTGTGACACAGTGGATGCTCGGAGCTCCAGCAGCAGTCCGGTGCATGCCGTTGAGGCAGTGCTGCTGTCCTCCAATAGATTTAAAGAGTGCGCCCTGGCCCACAATAGAGGGGCCGGCCTGCGAGTGGGAGGATCACCACGGCGGCAGCGATCCTTCTGGCTTTGTTACGCCAGGGAAGCCATTTTGGAAATCTGCTTGTTGTGCACTAGCATAACACTCAGGAGCTACTTGCAAACTTTTGTGTTTTTCTACAGTATAAATGTCGTTAGGATCTGTGGATGCGCAGTACTACTTAACCTCTGAGTTCTCGTGCACCGGGATGCTGTGAGAACTTTGCGCATCTTTCCTGATAGTAATGTTTGGATAATATCCCTTTGGATTACGCTCTTAAGGAATAATAACATCCATGGACTCTAAGCACGCGGGCAAGTTGACATGATAAATAATACCCTTAATGTTAATGTAGATTGTCTGCTGTGAATGTGTCTTTTCCTGTTTTCTAGATTTTATTTCGTCCTTGCTGGGCTCCTTTACCCACAAATAATGTCACCCCAGGCCTTTATTCCAGGGTGATTTTCAGTAATCTGCGACATGAATTCTGTAAAATATGTTAGTCTTTATTGACATTGCGTGTTTTGACTGAGAAATGATCAAATCACTTGTACGACTTCATAAAAATAGGCACGCCGTTGCTCGAGCCTGTAAGTCGGTGCTTTCTGGAGAGACTGCGTTGTCTAAATTCATGGCGTCTAAATTTAGCATGGAGCAATATGAGAATGTAACGGGGCTTCATGTCATATGATCGGACACTATCTGTAGTTATTATTAAACTGAATGTGTTTCAAACGACACCGGTTTGTTTTGACAGTAGGCGGATCAGTCACAGGACTTTGCGTCGCAGGTGGTTTGCGTAAAGGAGCCAGCAAAACAGACGTGCGAGGATAAATACAGTAGCATCCTGTGGGAAAGGTGTCACTGTGTATAGTAGCATGTTTTAGATTGTAGGTGTTTTTGAAATGCATGTTTTTGTTATTGTTGAGCCTGTCTCCTGCATCATGAACTCAAAGATGAAATGCCATTGTATTTGTGTGAAGTCACATGCTGTTAAAGCTGCAGAACTTACATAGATCCATAATAAGAACACCTGCAGGAGTTGCAGCACAGTTGGTGTACTGTAGGAGGTTGCTGTGTGATTTTTGCAGTGCTCACTCACATCATGATTCATTGCAAAAGTTGACAAATCAAAAAACTAATCCTGGCTGAATTAAAGTAGTCCCTTTTGGCTTTTGGATATTTGTTTCTGTTTATCCCTCTTTTCGGCTTGGAGGATCAGGGATTTGATTAAACATGATTAAGATTATGGGTTAAGATTTTGATGGTGGATTTTCTGAAAAGCCATCTGTTTTATTTACTGTCCTATATATGTGCTTTATCTATCTGTTTGGAGTATGATTTGAGACGAGGTTCCTTTTCTTGGTCAGGATGTATGAGGAAGTTTGGACCACATGGATACTTTTTAATGCAGTATGGTTAAGCTTGTCGTGAACACAGATGCTAAATCACACATGCAGAAAGTTTCGTATTCCTTATGTTGTTTATAGCAGAGCAAGGGGCACGCTCACAGTTTTAAGTATACAATTTTGACTGAAACATACACTCATTTGCAGATGTATGCAACACTCTGCAATACACCTGAACCATCTGAATTAGGAGCTTTTTGAAATTGTTTCAAATGAAAACTATTTTAGTCTTGCTTAAAGTAGCATTTATTGCAAACACTGACATATTAATATGCATTGGTTTAAACAGTGTGAAACTAATACACACTGGCAGCTGAGTGTATTATGGTAACAGTTTTTGCAGAGGGAGGTTTCACCATGAGAAGCTCAACCCATAGACTAAAGTTGTTTCCCGCCCATAGCCTAAAAGCCAGCCCCACCCCTTGCTGTTGTACTTGGTTTCATAATACAGCTCTCTCAGTGTGTGTGTGTGGAGCTTATCCGAGAAGTCACTGAAGGAATAACCGTCCTTAAGAGGAGTCTTCCTAATACAACGTGAAAGAGGAGCGTCACTACTTCTGTCCAGGCTCCACAAGCCTTTCCTTCCTGTTTGCCGACCAAAGGAGAAGAGACGAGTCATTCATTACAGCTTCTCTGGCGTCTGTAGCCTCCGTCAGCAACCAGCCAGAGCCAACATGCAGGAAGAGGTCGGCCAACTCTTGTCCACAGTAGCATTGTTGTGTTTCAGGAGAACGGGAATGTTCGACAGCTCTCATTAGGGCCTGCCTGTGCTAGGCTTTCTGACGTTTTGTACAGCTAGCAGTAACTGGTGGTCAGGTTTTCTTGGAGAGCAGCCCAGTGAATAGCGCAAGAATTTAATAAGTCCACGGCAAGTAATCTATCCTTGCTGCATTTAATTTGTTATGTAGATGCAGGGCTGAATCTGTTTTAAAAATACAACTTCACAGTGCCAGAACTTGAGCTCATTAGCAGGACTAATTTGTCTGCAGGAGACAGGCTGAACAAGGCAGGGCATGCGTTGTAGTGTTTGTGTGTATGTTTGTGTGTGTGTGTGTGTGTGTGTGTGTGTCTAAGTTTGTATTTATCCTCTGTCCACCATGTCAGCTTTTGCTAAAGATCCCTATCCTTTGCATCCTGACTTTTGCAGTCTAAAAACAGAAGAATGAACATGGATTTTTCCCAACTGCACACATATACACCGCCGCAGTGTGCTCCGGAGAACACTGGCTATACCTACTCTCTCAGGTGAGACCTCAGTGCTGTGCTGCGCTACGCTGGCATGCAAGTCCGTAAAACAGTCAGAGCTATGGTATTTCAGTTACACCCTGCCTCTCGTTTCTTAATCCATAGTGCTCAGAGTATCTACTCAGTATCTTATTTTTAAAGATTTTACAAGTGTAATGTCAGCCAGCTTCTCAACTTCCATCTTCTCTTATATCTCTCTAGTGTAATTGGGTGCTGTCAACCTTGATTCTACTATGATAATGTTAAAATCAGCGTACCCATACTTATAACCTTATGTCTGTGTTTCATAATGAAAGGGTTCCAGACTACCAAGTCATGCATTCACAACTTGTGTGCAAACTAAACGCAGAACTTTCTGAATACCAAACTGTATATCATTATGGTTGGGGATGCAGAATACTGTTAGATTAATACAGTTATGGCACATTGTTGATACATGTTTTTTGACGTTGAGAGGTTTTCTACCCGGACTTTCTAAAAAAAATCCTGTGGTTGTGGCTTTGATGACTCAGCCTCATGATTCAGTTGGTGTGTGTTCAAGTTCCTAGTGGGGAATGGGAACAAAAACAAAGCAGGAACTCCTGATTTTTCTTCTATTTAATACTACACATATATTGTAGTATGTGGGTGCCAGCTTCAGTATAAACCTTTCTTGTAAAAACCTCTCCCATGGTGCCCCTCATCCATGCATTATTTCTCGGGACACGATCACAGATGATACTGTAGGTGGGTTGAAAACGTCTTAAGGAACGTCTCTGCATGTGCAGGAATGTTGTTGCCTTCAATTCTGTCACAGTGGATGTCAGAAACTCTCAGAGCAGAGAGGCTTCTGGGTGTATGAGTCAGGAATTTAAACATCACCTTTCCCCATATTTAACTCACTTTCTGGCTTCAGGGAAAGGAAGAGTTATGTGTAGGGGCTGTCCATCATTTAGGCGGGAGAATGTCTGTATCTTGTAAAACAAGAAATTAGTTTAAACAAAGCCTTTAGGTATTTTTACAGCTGTGTCTTGAAATGTATGTGCATTGTGAAAACTGCAACAGCAGGCCTTCAGCACTGAGTAATTCTCATGCAGCTGAACAAGCTCAGGCTAGTTTTGTGTAATTACAATTCAAATATGTGACCGTTACTTTATTTTTATATTTATATTTAAAGCCAGCGACTCCTATAGTTTTATAGGTTGTGGGTTTGGTATTGATGCACAATAGTATTTTGCCTGTTGGGTATTTTCTTTCTGCAGTTTAGAAGAGCTGGTATTCTGAAGTGAATGGTGACATGAATTGCAAAAAGCCAAACAAGCCCTAAACATCTCCACGATTTCAGTTCAGCTTTGCAGTGCACAGACTCCATTCCAGTAATCAGAAATCCTCATAGTAACCAGCCTCATGACTCTCACATTGGACTGAGGAAAAGAAAGATGATAAAGGTACAGGATCATGTTTGACATGCTGCTGGAATCTACCAGGTAGACTGAAAGGCAGGAACAAGCTAATCGTGTTCCTGTGAATGCAGTCAGCTGAGAAGCTATTAATGAACCTCAAAGGCACAACCAGAGCCCTGATCCCAGGATTACACTAATAGTTTATGCTTCTTGACCAGCTAGTGGAGAGATCTGTGGTTTTTATTAGCCTGTTTGTCCTGCAGCTGAGCCGCTGAATATTCTCGCCTCTCCTGAGAAATAAACTTGCTGAAATCAAAAATTTGTCCAACTAGGGCTGGGTTGAAATGACATATTTTCAATACTGATTTTGGATTGCAACAGTTTGAAGACATCACAACCCCAAAATTGCTCCATTGTTGACTTTCATGAAATTAAACAGACATTTTTGAAGAGTTCAATAGATGCATTTTGTTTTCATGCATTCGCCTCAGATTAAATACAAATAAACAGCCACACTCACTTTAGAAATATCAGCCAATCAGAGAGCCTTACATCTAGTTGTGTTCTGGTTGTAGTTGGCGCATACACGTGTATATGGCCTACAGTGACTTCACTGAGAACAGTGCAGAGACGGATGGGGTCAGGTGACTGAAACCGTTGGCCCATCTGTTGTCAAAACTCAAAAGAGCAGTGACAAGTTTTGTGGCATTGAAAAGTCCAAAAGAAAGAGAGAGGGGGGTGGGCAGCCAATCCTGTCCTGTTTCTGTCCACAGCTGTCTCTCATACAGGGACACAACTTGGACCGCCATCCTTGTTTTGAATAAAGTATTCTCTAATACAGTGAGGGAAATGCTTTTATTTCTCATTTATAACTTTACAAAGTGAATCAAGAGTTTTCTTGTGCTCTCTTCATTCCTCACAGTTGCTCTCATTCTCCCCTTTAGTCTTTCTTGGACTTATCCAGGGCTTTCAGTAAGGGAGAGTTCAAGGTTTCACTCGACACACTCTTTTTGCCTAGTTTATGTCTAGACAAAGCAACAATAGTCTTTTTTTTTTCTTTCAGGAATCTTTTGGAGATATGAAGAGAGATTAAAAAGCTGTCAAACTTTCACTTTATATTAGATTTTCCTTAATTAAAGAGGTGGTATTTTAACTCCTTATCAAAGGTTTCACATGCAGGTCTTTGATCTAAAATTTGAAAATGGCTGTCCTCTGTGAAGAGGTAGTATCCTTTTTTTCATATAGTGAGCCTTTTAGTGGGGACCCCCCTGCCTACGGTGTTCTCAATAATCTACAAATTAGACTAAACTATATTCTGTTAACCAGAAGACACTCGGGTTGATAAGGAAATAGGGTGGAGGGTGGGCTCTAATTTGAATTTATTTTTTACCTTTTTTCTTTCTTACCACCAAATGTGGTCTAAAATTGAGAGCACACCAGCAGTACTGAATCGAATTAGTCTTGTGATTTGTATCAAACATGGATAGTGGTCCAGTGGTGTCTTTAGTATCTACATGTTCATCTCTCTTAAGACTCACTCACTGGGACCATCTCATCTGACAGCTTTTGTGTGTGCTGTGTATGCACCCACACCTTTCATATTTTATGATAGTGGAAGTGGGTCAGTAGGGCTGGAGCCTCTGGTTAGAGTGTTTTAGCCCCGCAAATGATAACTGAACTGAGCATCAGCAGTGATGGACTCATCAGATACAGTATCTGAACAGCAGCAGCGGATAAATCATGTCAAGTTGGCCTGTGTGATTAGAGACAAACCTGCGATGTGCATGTATGTTAAGTATTGCAATGCTGATATGAAATGCAATATTATACAAATAGTAAATCATGCACGTTAGCTATAATTTACAGCCTTTGAATCAAAACAATTCTAAGTACCTTAGCAGTTCTTTTTCACCACCAAATTGACAGAAATCGTTGGCCCACTCTCTCTTGACAGCACTGGTTGAAAGTTCAGTTTTACAAAGACAGTCTTTTTATATCATCCTACTTTGAAGGTGAGGTTTGCAAATTTGGAGAAACCAGTCAGAGAGGGCTGGATTTCCAACTGACCTGAGCAAAATAACCGAATTATTACAGTCCTGCAAAATCAAAGATACACGTTTCTTTTTCTTTTTTTTGCAGAATTTGATGTATTGATTTCTGTCACAAATTAAACTATCCAATCCAAATATGTTTATGAAATAAAGGGCCTTTACTTCTTTTACTTTAATCTGTGAGTGTGAAATAATTTAGTGCTGTGGCATTTTTTAATTGGATGTAAGGTCTGCAAGACAAGGTTCAGGGATGCAGATTAAACAGGCAGGAGTGCATAGAGTGCCAGTTGGACAGTTGTTGTTCACGCTGCTGTCACAGTTGTTTTGACATCTGGTCCATGTGTAGTTCAGCACATGCACCACTGTTCAACTGCCAAGTAAAGACAGCAGCTGGATTTTGGAGAGTAAAGCTTGTGACATACTTAATCTTTTTGAGGGTCAAAATCACAACAACAAAAAATGTCTAATTGCTGGAAGTCCATGTTGTGATATTCTAGCAGCGTATCTGTATCAACCAGCATGTGTTCATGTGCAATGCAGCATTTGAAAGGGTACATGTCCAGCCTACTGCTCTTTCGTAATCTCTCCAGCCATGGAGATGTTTATAGTGGTCTCCATGGTAACTGCCCCAACATGGAAGGCACATTGTAGTGTAATATCATATAAAGAGAAGGACATCACAGAGGAGAGAGACCAGGCACAAGGAAAGCATTGTCAGTGGGGGGGAATGAGGGTCCGGCTGGAAAGATCCTAATCACTGTCCCAAATTCTGCCCACCCAGAGACAGTCTGATTGGAAATTTGCTGACACTTCTTCACTCTGTCCCATAACTCCCAGTTCCTGGCCTCTGTTAAAAATAGGTCTCAGCACCTCAGGGGAGAAAAACTTTCTCCACTGGCTCTATATCAGTTTAAGCAAATGGAGAGGCAGAGCGTGCTATGCTCCTGCTCTGATTTTGGGTACTTTCCAAACAGATTTCTCTCAGGCTCTCACAGATAAATGTTGGGATAAAAAACTGAGAGCAATTAATTTTAAATAAATGAAGTGTTTTCCTTCAGTTTTGTTGGGAAGAGATTTTGATCTTTCAAATTTCCGGATCCTAACCGTCTTTAATAATTTGATTTTTCCAGAGATCATATGAAGACTTTGATACAGTGTGTTTGCCTCTAATTTGCGTGTCCTTGCACTTTTCCAAAATAACATGGTCCATGTTGTGCGTCAAAGGGAGGGAGATAGTTGTGTAATCAAGATATAACTGTCGGGACAAACAAATTCCATTTTATGGCTTGAAGTTGAAAATGTTATAAATAAAAAGAATTTGATGTCTGAGTGCAGGTTGTTTACATTTAGAAGTCAAAAATGTTGTTTTATTTATCTCTTCATCTTACATAGTAGGTCTGTTATCCTTGTTTGCCCTTTCCTGTCTCGACTCTGAGTAATCTTCAGTACTCACTTAGGGCCAACAACTGTTTTTGCTCCTCCTGTTTCAACACGCCCCCTCGTCTCGTAAAAACTTTTTTTTGTGTTGTTGGAGTATGTTCTTGGCAAGTATCTGACTAAGCTTTTGTAATCACACTTGTGGTTTGGAAGTTCAGATTAGCAGGCCACATGGTTTCTATAGAAGCTGTCAGATTTAAGCATGTATAATGTATGTGAGGCCACAGCCAGTGTTTTTGTCTTGTGTCTAGCGTGCCTCTTTAACCTACCTCTGGGTTAATACAATTATTTCTGACTGTAAAACAGAATAGCTTTGGGTTTTAAAGAAATGATAAGAGGCATTTTCTCTTACTTTTCTGAAATGTATATATTGAACCTTTGCTTAGAAGTAGTTGATCTAGAAAATAACCAGCAGATAGGTAAATAAAAATAATAGATGGAAGCAAACCTGATTTTTTTTTTTTTTTTTCCAACTTTAAATTTCAAGAGTGTATAGCTGTATTGAAATGCATATATTCACAGTAGTGTGTGTATGGTAGAGAAACAGGTCATTGTTCCTGCATGTAAACTTAATGTCTCAGTGTGTCTGCTTTGTGATGCAATCTAAAAAAAAAATTTGCGTACACATGCAAAGCAGACAGAAGGTGGGTGGGTGGCAAGTCCCTTCAGTGGCAGCAAACCAAACATGGCGCTGTTGGTGTAGACTCACCAGAAGGGATGTTATTGGAGTTACTTTTTTTTGTCACAGAGGGATTTGTCTTCAGTGGCTCTCTGGATGGATAAAAGTTTAAAAATGACAACAAATTGGTTTTGTGTCGGTAGCTGTGCTGGCTGCTGTGAATCCCACACTGTCGTATAGCGTCCAGGCTGTTGTCTTCAGGGTACGATATCCTGACGAGCCTTTCACTCGAGTTATGGTGCGTTCACCTCACGGGCAAATACTCTCTCAATGATTCATCATGTGGAGTTTACACCTGGATGAAAGACCCAGATCCACTCGCTTCATCCTGAGGCTGTCTGAAATGTGGCATGTAGATTATATTCTTCTTCTTCTTACAGCAAAAGAGGTTTGATACATGTTGTAGTTGTACAGTCAATCTGCATCAGTTAGTACTGCCCCCCCCCCTCTCAGTACTGCATCAGTTCTCCCCCCCCCTCACCGTTGTGCTCATTACATCACTGCTATGCATAAAAATGAGCAAATCACCAAAAATACAATGTATAAATGACTAAAATGTAGAATCATATCTGATCTGATTCTGTGTGTAGTTGTGTGTTAGAAATGCTGCTGTGCCCACTGAGTGTGGGAAGAGTATCAAAGCCTTGTGTTATGTAAGGAGAGATTCCAGGAAGCGGAAAGTCAGGATGGAAGCGTCTTCTTTCTTTCAGTACTGTAGGTCCGTCTCTTCATCCGTTTCTTTGCTCAATCCTGACAGCACTGTGTCCGTCTCTATTTTTATCACTGATGTGGGCCGTGGGAGCCGCCGGGGAGAGAGCGGCCCACAGATCAATTTGGATCCCCGGAACAACTGAAAAGAGTTTTCAGACTAATTAAACACTGTTTACGGATTCTGAGGAGACTGGCTGGAATCAAAAAATTTGCCAGTAAACAGAATTGTTGTTGCCACAAGAGATTCTCACTTCAGTGTTCATGACCTATGTGTCTATGTTCATGAGTTGCCAGGTAGAGCAGAAGGATACATTAATGATTGTGCCTGGCTGTAGGCTACACAGACAGAGGTGTGTTTTTCTTCTCATACACGCCCTGTCCTGCCCTACCCAAGACAAGGGCTTCCACGCCCCAGGCTCTCAGTCAGTGACATGACAAATAAATCTTCAGTAAATAATCTTAGGCTTGTACTACAGAGCTGGATTTTCTGTTCGCAAGGTAACTTAAGGTGGTTCTCTGTGACTTGCATAACCATGATAATTTACCCTGCACACCTAACCTGCTCCAGAGCAGGTTGTGATTGAGATCAGCATGAAGCACCACCTACTGACCAATAAAACCTATGGATTCTGTTGCTACAGTAAGTGCTTAGACTGTGAGAGGGAGAAGGGGAAAGCATTCAGATACAGGAAAACACTTAAGACCTGATGATTGTCATATGAGAGATTTGATTTGCTTTTAACAAATGTCATCCCACAAAGACTCTGATTGAAGCCATGAAGCCTTGTAATTGTATTTGAAAGAGGTACCGGTATGTTGAATTTTATGTATGAATTATTGTTGGATCTTTTTTTCTCAACATCTGTTTTATGGTGTTGCAGCTGGAGGAATAAGTAGAAAACTCCATAAAAAGATAATGAACCAACCTGTTGATTAATGGATTATACAAATCTACCCATTCCTGAGGATGTAGCCATGGTTTAATAAACGTCACCCTGTCAGCAATTTTTTTGCCAGTTATCTTGCTGCATCTGTGTTTCTTTAAGTCATTACTTTGTGTTAAACTTATTAATATTTGCAAATTCAAGTTTGCTGTTGGTTTGTAACACATGCTGCCAGAAGTCCTAGGATTGTTCAGGATTCATATGCTGCAGAAACGGCTCCTTTACCTGTGCCCCTGGCTAGCTCGAGGAACCAAGACTTGACTTACTGACTTAATAACTAGCGTTGTGTGACTGCTTAGTGAGACTGCTATTGTTAAGCTCAGTGCAAAGGACAGTGAAGAGAGCCTGGTGTGTTGAACTCGCTATATAGTACAGGCCTCCTCTTTGATTGATGTTGCATGTTTTTCTTTGTATAGAAAAATGCTACACTGATGTTTTTTGGCTCAGATGTCACCTTAAGGCATGCTTTTATCTCAGCATCTGTTTTCATACTTTACCACCTTTTCAAGTGATTTAGCAACTTGATAGTGATATGGCTTGTATGCAGCCTGCATGTTTTCTGAGGGAGGGTTTGTTTGAAGGGTTTAGATAGTTTTTCACATTTATATGACGGGAAAAATCCAGGGTGACAAGTGTTGTGTCACACACAGACACTTGAGGAGCAGGAGCACAGAAAATAGTACACATGAGCCTGTTTGGTTTTGAGTTGTGTTTATGTGAGAGATATTAAAGACATTAAATTAGGGTCCAACTAAACAAATAGGATGAAGATTGATAACTAATGATGGAACGAATAGAAGAAGTGTTGTGCAGATAGTTGACGACAGGTTCTCAACCACTACTGATTCTTCTTGCTAAGGTTTGACAGCTAAGCTAACTCTTGTCTTTATCAGACCAACAGAAGAGAGAGAGAGAGAGAGAGAGAGAGAGAGGTGTGGCACTGGTCATGTGTTTAGAGAAAAGCCAGTTGGAGCAGGAGGCAGAGTAAAGATGAAAGTACATAATTGGCTCTCTGCTGGAGTTTGTAATCTTAAGGGTATTAGTACCAGAGGAGGGTCCACAGAGCAACATGCCTGGTCTTTATAAACATGTACACATGCATAGACATACTGCCGATATTTCTCAGTCTCCACTGAAGTGTGCCTTTTGTGCAAGACTCAACATTGATATACTCACTGCTGCAGTCCAAAGGCCACTGACAGGCACTCTGTACTTGTGGTGTGAACCAAACAGGTCTTTTTATTCCGGGAAGGTCCCTCCTTTACTCTGAGTTCCTTCCCTTTCCTCCAGTGACATATAAAGTGCTTAGCTCCTCCTCTGCTCCTTCCACCCTTCCCTGCATGCTTGTGGAGTAATTCTGCCTGCCCCAGTTGAGCCACATGCTGAGGGGTGTAAACAGTCTAAAAGAGAGTGCAGCATAGAAAAGGTCATTCCAGTTCAGTTTAGTTGATCAAACAATTCCAGTTTTGTAGGTTTAAAGTAAACATCATGATTGTGTTGTGCTAATGATATGCACTCCATTTACCACTGTAGAAAAAGAAGGCACAGCCACTGGAATTATTTTTCATTTGCTCAAGAAAAGTTTGTAGAAATGTTTTTTACTGTTTCCTCTGATTTTTCAAATTGCTGCCCTGCCCCCTGTTAGTCGAGGCTGAATGTTTGCCCTGACTCTGCCTGCCTACACTGCCAGGTGGGTGTGGCACTGTGACTCACAGCTGCACAACGCATGCCAAAGTCAAATTTGAAAACATACACGACATGGTGTGTTTCCACTTAAAGTTGGCTTTGGCTTGCTGTTGGTAGAGTAGCTTTTTTTTTTTTCACCCTACTTGCATACTTTGGAAAAAAAGTTGTAAAAATATCTCAGTTTAACTTTCAGAGACACAATGTTCCTATTCATTGTCTTTTTTTCTCACTCCCTTGTGTTTGAGTCACTTCCTGGCAGGCAATCTGCCAGTTGCAGGAACAACAGCAAGAGAGCTCTCTAAACGGACTGTTTGTCCCTGTGTTGTGTTTGTTCAACACTAAAGCCCTCCTAAAGCTGACTTTCTGAAGATGACACACGCATTAGAATAAAGGGCTGAATATTACCATTAATCGTAGGTTGAAAGTTGCTCCACATCTGTTTGTTGTCTCTTCTTGGATAATAAATAATGGAATGTTGTGCAATTCCTGGTAAAAAACAAAACAAAACGATTTTTCTTTTTGTCTCTTCTCCCCTATTTTTCTGCTCTTTCTTTTCCGCTCTTCGCTCGTTGTTCTCTCTCAGCTCCAGCTACTCCACAAGAGCGTTAGAGTTTGAGAAGGAGCACCAGATTGCTGCCGTGTACGAGTCACCCAGGATGTCACGGCGGAGCCTGCGTCTGCAGACCAGTGCCAGTCACTATGACAACGGGAGTCTGGCTGATTACTCTCAGAACCACAGCAGTAGCAGCAGCAGCTACACCAGCACACGGAGAGAGACGCGGTGAGACTAGCAAAGGATGCTTACGCTCTTATTTGTCTGTTTACCAAAGAGTTTTCGTAAATCTCTGTTTTGCTATTTATATTAGGTATTTTTGACTATTTCAGTCTCTTTTGTGTGATATAATGATAAGACCCCTTACCTTTTGAAGAAGAAGTACATTAAATTCAGCTCAATCCCAGGGTCTAAGAAGATGAAAGCATCTTGTAAAGCCATGAAATTGTTTTTTATTGCAGCTCTGTTGTGCATGGAAAAACTCCATCTGTAATCATGAAAATATCTGCCAAAACTTTAATATGATACTTTGATAGCTAAAGGTTTGGTCAACTATTTAAGGCCATCCCTAGAACTTGTATTTGAGACTTGTCTAACTATAGACCTCTCTCTAGTGGTCTTCTATGCCCCATACATGCAACAAACTCACACCTCTTCATGTTTCCTTTCTCTGCTCTATCAGGACGCTGCGCAGCAAAAAGCAGCAGTCCAGTTCCGGCTCCTTGTCCCTTTCCCTGAGTCAGACTCAAACCGCCACACCGCGGAAAACCCTCGCCTTCTCAGCCATTAGCACCCCCATCAACAGCAGCAGCGTTCAGGAGAGCCACCAAGAGTGTGATGCCTCGCTGCTAACCCCCATCGTCGACCAGTCCCACCTGAGACAACGCACCATCACCACAACCTCCACATCTGTGGATGGACACTGGGGTCAGTTTATTCATCCACAAATGACCCACTGTGTTTAAACAATAAAATTAAGAAGTTACTTAAGCATCTTGTAAATATATCCTACCACATACACAATAAACATATTCACCCTCCCTTAAGAGATGTATTAATAATCTTAATTTAAAGTAACATGTTTTTGTGTTTAATAAACATAATAATAAATAATTGAGCCTGTCTTGGAAAACACTTTTGGCTCAATCATCATTTTTTGGGGCTGCCGAGTTTTGTAACACATTTTCAATCCTGCTTCTTACCACTTTCATAAACTTCTTAAGGAAAAAGAAAGACATTAATCAAGAGTCGAGGTCATTTATGATTCACTGTTGATCTAGATGAGATAAACGCACACGCTAGTTGCAAACAGAAGTACTGTCAGGTATTAGAAGTGAAATAAAATAGTAAACAAGAGTCTGAAACACTTTGAAGTAAACAATGATAAATACTAGTTGGGGTTTGATACTTCACACATGGTCAATATTTTAAATATGTTTAGTCAATTTCAAAATGAACTACATTCCTATGTTTTTATTTCCCACAATTAACAAACTATTGTAAGAAAATATATAAAAAGTCAAGAAAAAAGCAGCAGTGATATTTTAAATTCTCTGTCTTCATATTGTATTCATAGACTAAACTTCTGTCTCTTTATTGTGGACAGAACTATTGTACTTTCTCTCCATTTTTGCAGCTGCAGTTAAAAGTCACTTTTCAGATGAAGATTTAAAAAAAAAAACCTTTAATGAGCCAATTAACAGAAGTTGAAGCTTATCATTGGGTAGCTAATAATGGGTTACACTTTCAGAGCCCATTGTAGCTGCAGAGAGGAAAAGGTATTTCACCATACTGAGTAATTAATTTGGTTATTTTAAGCACATTTCCCAAAAAGTACCATTACTTAAGTAAGGTTAGAAATGCAGGACTTTGGCTTACAGCTAAGTATTTTTAAAAATGGTAGACTTTTAAAAAGTTAAACCATTTTCTCCACCACTGAGGGTATTTACTGTTTCTTTGTGAACTCTTGACTAGTAACACTGTTTAAGTCAAAGAAAAGCATACGTTCTTAGTAACATCATAATGTATTTATTATTTGTTTCCCTGAGTGGTAATAGAGGAATGGCTCTTAATCTGCATTCTTGTTGCTCCATCAGCGCGGAGTCACAGCTCTGACCACAATTCGTCGACTATCAACGGCGACGCCAGTGCGTCCAAGTCCCACACCTCCCTCGCCAATGGGTACATCTGCAAAGACTGCTCTCTTCACTCTCATAAGACGGACTCCCATAGCACGCAGTCTTCATCACTATTAACATCATCATCTCAGGCTGCCGTAGCTTCCACAGATGCCCTCTTCTCCTCCTCCACTTCATCGCCTTTCACAAGTGTGTACTCCAGAGACAGGAGTAGACGGAACAAGACAGGTGAGACGCTGTTTGATTGGATTCAAATGTCATACTACATTGTCAGACTGCCATTTTTCCTCTCTCTCTTATTGAGATTAATGGAGCTATGATGTTGTGATAATGAGACTATAATAGTAGTAAAATCTCTCTCCAGGTGTGCTGGTGTCTGTGTCTAACACGTGTATGCGCTACAGCAAACGAGCGTTGGCGCCCATTGTGACCTTAGTCACCCTGCTCTACAACAATGTGCTCTGGCTTGGTTCAAGGGTCAAAAGCCCTCCAGGAAAAGGTATAAAACAAGTGACTACCTTTGCTCTCCATGCATTACCCATCATTCTCTGTTTTCTCTTTCTTCTTCTGTCTTTTCTTGAGGCTGCTTTACCCAAGTCGATCAGCTTGAAGTGAAAAATAAACCTTCTCCAGCTAATTTAAATCTCCACACTTATTTCAGCCTGAGCTCTCGTCGTCATGCCTAATGTTTCCGGCTGAGTCATGGTCTATTTCTATTTCACATGAAACCTTATTATCTCTCTCCTTATCTTTCAACAGCCTCTTGACGTTTCTCTCATCCTCTTCACTTCATTCTCATGCTATAACTTATTCTTGTTCACATTATGTTGTGTCTCTAGCGGTGCCTTGAATGTGTTTTTAAACTAACAGTAATCTTTTTCACCCGGGTTTGCCGTCAGGTGCGTTAACTTCGTTTTCCGACTCCATGAGACGAGCAGCGTCCTCCAGTCTGTCCCAACTGTGGCTGTTAAAGCAGAACACTCTCCACAGGGTGATGGGCCACGGGTCAAAAGGCTATGAAGGACAAGGTACCAGCTAAGGTCGTGGGTCACAGCTCCTGACCTCCCGTGCTGCTCTTCTATTAATAAACTTTCATGTCACCATTTCTCTCCTTCCTCAGCTCCCGCTTTCTTGATCATGGAAAAGAGCCTCATAATCTGATACACATGTTGTTGAACTGACTTTAAAGGAACTCTTTCTCATCTCTTTCTTTCTCAGTCCATTCAGTCTTCACTTTCACTCCACTGTTTTCTGTTTCTGTAGCAGGAAGTGTACTACAGTAGAAACACAATTCAAAACTGTACATCCAGAAATCCAACATGGCTATCACATGTTGTACAAGTTGCATTTTATTGGGAGTAAATAAGTCACATTAGTTATTATATCAATATTCAGTTGAATTAACTGTCAATCACAACAACAAATATCATGGTATGCAGTCAGTAAACAAAATTAGCATTTTGTTTTGCGTGCACATACTCTTTGACGGCATATTGAGTTTGTGCATGGTCTGGTTTTTTTTCTAGTCTTCTGCTAAATTAAGCTGTTTCTTTTCACAGCTGCAGCATAATACGATAAACTCTGAATCATCAGTTTCCGTCATTTCTTTCTTCTTTTTTTTCCAGCAATCGTCTGTATATCCTCTCTCATACTCTAAATGTTGATTTTTCTATATACAGTTAGGCAGAGAGCTGCTCCCCTCCTCCGATTTGTGACAACTGCATTTACTCTTCTACTTGATCATCGTCAGTCATTCTTCATACTCCTCTCAGGCAACATGATTCTAAAAAGTGAATACATGTGTTGTCTGTATGTTGCAGCCCACTCAAGTTACTGTGGAAGCATGAACGTGAAGGGGCTGATGACTGAAGATGCGTCACATCTTAAACTCAATGGTTCCCTATGTAAGCGCACACACACTTTCTTTCTCTCCATTCTGGTTGTCTTGGTGTTGCCATGGTTGACAGAGTTAATTTTATGCGTGGCCTGTGTTCACACCAGCGAGCAGAGGTTGTGTGAACTGCTTTAGAAAGTCAGCAGCATGTTGACCGATGTGACCCGCTGATGCTTCTCTGGTCAAGTTGGTCCTCCAAAGTCATGATTATCCCCCACCTTAATACACACAACAAGCTCTTAGTAAGTTTTTTTTTTCATTTGGTACTACTGATAGTGTTAAAAGGGGTTTAACAGATTGTTGGAAAATCTTGAGTGGTTCTTTCCCCTGTAAAAAAAATAAATGAAAAATAGTTTTAAAATCAGAAAATAAAGACAAACAAGTTACAAAAACAGCTCTGCAGCTTCATCCAGGGAACAAAATAAGCATTTTGTATCAATAGAAAGGCAGTGATATTATGTCTGAAGGCTGACGTGTATTTAGCACCCCTTTTTGTAGAATCGGCTTCAATCATGAGTCACTGCATGGCAACATGTGTCAAGCTGTGCATGCCATATGTCATTCAGTCATTGTGCAACATGTATGCAAGTGGCCTTTTGAATTTTCTTTTTTCCTGAATACATCTCATTATTTTGTGCTTCTTCTGCATTTTATATTTCTGTGTCTTAAGTTATTTACTTTGTCATTGCCTCCATCGTAATGTCTTTTATTTACACATCCTTTGTTTTTCTGTTTTTTCTTTGCCTGCTATCCATTATTTTGGTGCACGCAGGCGATGACTGTAAAGGGAAGCAGCATTCTGAAACACAAACCGTCCTCCTGACAAAGTCCTCCAGATCACAGCGCCTGGCGGGGGTGCTCTGGAGCGTCCTAGCTTACACAGGTTAACTAGCACTTTGTCTTTGTTGATGAAAGCCTGTAGATGTGCTGTTACAAAGATAGGACTCTTGAGTTTAGACATGCTGACATTTTCCCTCCTTCCACTTTTTCGTCCAGGTTACTGCCTCCTCCAGCCGGGTTACTGCGTGGTGAGAGTGGGGAAAGCGTTGGGCTCAGGAGCTGGGACCGTACTGCAGAGGCTGCTCTCTCTGTTCTGGATGCTCCTGGCAGCTCCAGGTCAGCTGCACATTTTGTCTTCTTAGAAAATAAGCAGCCTCCCTGCTTCTGTCTTGTGCAGCAAGTTCTGTCTGTGTGGTCTGAATGTTTTTTTTTTCTTTTCATATTTATTCAATGTGTGCAGTGAAGGCAGGCAGAGGACTTCTGTGCTTTCTTGCATCAGGATGGTACCAGCTGGTGTCTCTCATGTCTCTCCTCAACGTCTTCTTTCTGACACGGTAAAAGAATCCTCCCCCTTGAATGAGTGAAAATGAATAAATTGAGTGTTTTTTTGTTTTTTTTACAAGTCATGCTCTTTAAAAGTGATCATATATTTCACAAATGCATTACACTATTTTTCATTATTGTTTTTTTATTTACACTTCCAACAAAAGCTAGTATGATGTATTTAATTCCCTACTATTTTGAAATACTGCAATCCTATTCATAATGCATCATGTCATGAATCAAAGTTCTGATTCACTGAGGTTCTTTTCTTTTTGAAATAATGACTTGAACTCCTGTCAGTTCTGTTTCATCTGACCGGTGTGTGACTTTGTTTCAGGTGCCTTCCCAAGCTCTGGAAACTCCTGCTGCTCCTTTTACCCCTTTTGCTCCTTCTTGGTGAGTGTGAAAGACACAGGCGTAACCTATTTATTGAGCTCAAACAGCCAGAAGTCCTTCCACAGCAATAGTTGTCCAAACCAGCACACATCCCGAGAGTCTGCTGCATACTCAGCGTCAGATTCAGGTCAGGCCTGCTGGGCCTCTAGTGAGCTCCTCCACTCTGTTTCAGCATTGCTCACTTAAACTTACACAACAACAAAACAAGAACACATTGAACACATGAACAAATTTGTTCTTGGTAGACTACTCCATCTCTCTCTCTCTCTCTCTCTCAAGTCCTGAAGTTTATGAAATATAAAGTCTGTATGGGCTTGTGCTGCAATAAGCATGAAAACATTTGAGGCCAAAATGCTATGTTCTCACATCTTCATCTTTACCTTAAATTTATATATCTTAACACAATTTACAAACAATTCAGGGCAGGTACAAGCAGAGAAATTGCCAGTAATTTAAAAAAAACATGTTTTAAACCCTTCATCAAAATGTATCTACACATTCTGAGTTTTTTTGCAAGCGGTGAGTGTTGTTGAACCTTCGCTGTCTTTTGTCTTCATGCAGCTTTATGGTTTTGGGGTCCGTCCACTGCTGCCCTGCTCGCTTACCTTCCGGCCATTAACTTAACCGAGTGGCGTCCTGCCTCTCCCCTAGCCCTCCTGTCTAACTTAGTGCCAGCTTCTGCTCCAGCTCCTGCCTCTGTCCCCGTCCCTGCACCAGAGACTCCACTAGAACAAACCCCAGCTACACCGGTCTCACAGGCACCGGTAAGACACTGAAATAAAAAAATGAAGCAAATAATCTTCTAAAATAATGGACTGTATCCCAATATGACTTTGAAAAATATATCATTTCAAACCCTCTCTTCCTCCCTAGCCGATCCTTCCCCCGCTGGCCGTCTCTAGCCTTGATTTAGAGCGACTGGAACGTGTGGAGCAGCAACTCGCCCTGCTGTGGGGACGCGTCAAAAAGGGTGACGAAAATCAAGAGCAGGTCATGTGGAGGTTTTGGGTCTCTACAGCACCCTGAAGGAGCAGCTCCACACTCAGACCGACAGGGAGAGCTTGGGACTGTGGGTGTCCTCCCTGCTGGAGGAGAGGCTGGGCGTCGTGAGGGGAGAGCTGGAACAGCAGAACACTAACATAGTAAAGGTATGGAGATGAGAATAAGTGTTGTAATATTGAGTTTTAAAAGTGATGTGTTGATAAAAGTCAATGTTGGCATGCTAATAAATGTCTCATGTTTTTTTCTAAACCTCTGCTCCATGCAGAGCGAAGAGAAGCAGAAAGAGCACCAAGAGAGTCATGCATCACGTCTGGCTGAATTAGAACTTCTGCTGAGCACTCTGGCTGCCAAAACTGAGGTATGCATAGCAGATGCCACTGCCTGCACTCAGAAAACACATGCATTCAAAAAATGCATAGTGAATTGTGGCAAGATGGCTCATATATCTTACATATAAATATAACAAAAAAACAAACACAGAGACCATACATCCTCAATATTCATTCTTATACAAAAAGGCACATGTAATAATTTATGATTATTGAATACAATGGCAGACACCATGGTTAAGGAAGAGAGAATTATAAGAGATCTTTCAGCGAATCGGCTGCAGAGCCCCAGCTATGTAGACCTGTCTCAGCAGCTCCCTCTACTGGAGCAGTTGATAACTCCACATGGATAACAGCTATAAATGGTAGGACTCAGTGCCTGTTGGTGAGGGAGTGACGAGGCTTCCAGCTCACTGGGATCATCTTTTTAGCAGCTCTCAGGCCAGCTTCAATGAGCTTTTGTAACTTAGTGATATTGAGTTTTGAAACATGATTCAACAGCAGTGCCCCAGTGTTTACCGGTAATTAGCTGTGGAAGTCAAAATTGCCACAATAATAAGAAAAACTAAAAAATAAATGTATTAATTAAAGCATTACGATCATAATACACAATAAAGTACAAATTATGAGACAAGAGGTCAATGGTAAACCACAACAAAGCAAACTTAGACACATGCAGTCACACAAAGCCTTGAGTCAAATCATGCTTCAAGATAAGGAGATATTATAACAGCATAGACGACACTTACAGAGGGACCTGTGTTTAAAGGACAATAATCCTGACAAGCTCAAACAGGTGAACCAGACAGCTGAGGTCAGACAAGAACAGGTATGAATGCAGAACTGGTTGGTTTGGTGCCAGGTGTAAAGTCTGTGTACAAAGGAGCAATTGGGCAGTATCAAATATTTAATTATTCTTATTATAATAGTGATTGTTAGTTTTGAAGAGAAGTTTTGTACTTCCTACTCTGTCCTCATTCATTCTTATTGATGAAATGTGTTGTAGGAGGTTCAGCAGAAGCAGCAGAAATATGAGCATGAGAAACGGCAAGAACGGGTCAAAGAGGTTTCCACTCCAGCAGCAGACCCAGACCCTGTCAGGTATCAAAACCATGAAAAAAAACCAACCTACATGCATTCAAATTCAGCAGCATCTTCTTAAAGATTATGTCAGCTTACATGTAATTTCTGTGTCTCCCTCAGTGTGGGTGTGAAGCAGGAGGACCATGATGCTCTGTTTGCGGAGGTGCACAGACTTGAGGTGGAGCTTGGCAAAATCCGAAAGGACCTGCAGGGGGTTTTGGGATGTAAGGGCAAGTGTGAGCAGCTGGACATGCTGCAGGAGACGGTAAGTGACTCAAATGCTGACTCATGTAAAATCAACTTATTTTACAAAACTACATCACACGTCTTTTTTTTCCATGACATTCACTTTCCATAACATGTCTTTAGTCATGACATTTCCGTGTATTCCTTCACAGATATCAGCCCAGGTGTGTCCTCTCAGGTGTCCTCTCAGGTGTCCTCTCAGGTGCGTAAGGAGTTGCAGGCTCTGTTCTTCGGCAGTGGGTCAGGAGAGCAGCATGGAGAGGTGCCTGAGTCGCTGGTCCTCTGGCTATCTCAGCGCTACGTTAACACACCAGACCTGCAGGCCTCCCTGGCTCCCTGGAGATGAGCATCCTGAGAAACGTGTCCCTGCAGCTGGAGCAGAACCGGGCCCAGACCTTGGGTGAAGCTGAATCCCAAGCCAAGAGCATCGTTCAGACGGTGACCGGGAGCGTCCAGCACACTGCTCCACTGCGGGAATGTCAGAAGAGGTAATGAATATGGATTCCTACTGTCAGCGTCATAATCACTTTGGATTGTCATCTTAATTATATGAGCTAAGATGAGCTGCTTTTTATTGTTGGTTTTGTGTTATGTTTTCTACCCCAGCAAGTGAAGCTGATTGTCCAGAACGCTCTGAGGCTCTACTCCCAGGATCGAACAGGCCAGGTGGACTACGCGCTGGAGTCTGGAGGTAAAAAATTAAGCCTCACATTTACATCACTCCCTGTTCTTCCTGTGCCTTTTTGGATTAACCACCTAGCTGCTCTATAACAGCTCTATCAGCACAGCGCTCTAATGTATGTCTCTTATGCAATGAGGGTGCGGGCATTAGCCAGGCCTGAGGACAACAGGGTATTAACAGCAGAAGGTCAGACTCCATTGTCATTTGTATTACTGAGCAGTCTGTTGACCTATATGAGAGAGTCACAACACAGAAGGCATGGGTATTAAGATGTTCTGGTAGTCTAGTAAGAAAAACCTTTATGATTACAACAATTCGGTTTGGTTCTCAAGCCTCCACTTTCTGTCCATATTTTCTGTCTCTACATGTGCCATCATTTCAGACTAAAATATCCTAAAACTTTTAAAATTAGGACTTAGTTTCAAGCATGTTTAACCTTCATGTGTTTTTAGGTGGAAGCATCCTCAGTACTCGCTGCTCGGAGACATATGAGACCAAGACGGCCCTCATGAGTCTGTTCGGCCTGCCCCTCTGGTACTTCTCCCAGTCTCCACGGGTGGTCATCCAGGTGAGCCTCACCACCAGAGTTTTGTGACTCAGGGAAGGGATGCAGTGGAATTTACAGACACTTTATTGAGCCACTCCTATGTATCATAGACTGAGATCTCATTTTAACAAAATCAGTGACCGGTCAGTTCTTTGTGCATTATTCTTTGTGCATTGATTGTGCTACCTTACAGAGTGTGAAGCACAAATTAATCAATCTGTGATATCTTTCAGTAGACTTTTTATTTGTGTGTGGAAAGTTTCAGATGGAAGACACCTTCGTCTCTCTCTGCAACCACTTATTACTTTGCTAAGCCCCTCCCACCAAATGATGTTTCAGACATGCACACCAACATCTGTCACTGTAAATGCCTGTTTCTCACAGCTAGTTATATCAGGCTCAGAGGACAAAAAAAACCACTGACAGCTGATAAATATACATCTGAAAATAGTTTTTAAAAAGTATCAACTGGTGTGTGCTGCCCAGCTGTCAGGCTCTCAGCACCAGAGGAGAGGAGTCAGAGCTGCATATATTATTTAAATGGACAGTTTGAAGAACAGTAAATTCAACGATTATAACGTGTTAAGATAAGCACATGACTATTCTTTACACCTGACTTAAACAAATTGAACCTATCCACAAAGTCTTTTATTACATTTACAGGATAATCAATAAAGGACTAATGTCATTGAAGGATTGTTGGGGTTTATTTTTTTCATTTGAAAAACTAAGCTTGACATCTCTTACACCCTCAGCCTGATGTGTATCCTGGTAACTGCTGGGCATTCAAAGGCTCTCAGGGCTACCTGGTAATCCGGTTATCCCTAAGGATCCTGCCTACATCCTTTTGCGTGGAGCACATCCCCAAGGCCCTGTCCCCCACTGGAAACATCACCAGCGCCCCACAAAACTTCACTGTTTTTGTAAGAAACAAAGGGATATTTATTTAATTCCATTAATTAGTGATAATGTTCTGTTTTCACTGAAAGTTTTTTTTATTTTCAGGGGCTAGACGATGAGTACCAGGAGGAGGGAAAGCTGCTCGGGCAGTACACATACCAGGAAGACGGGGAGTCACTGCAAACATTTCCTGTCATGGTATGAAAAGTCGGACTTCTTAACCTGTCGGGAATGATTATGTTCTTATCTGCCAGCATGTTCTGAATATTCTTCTCTTTTTAGGAACAAAATGACAAGAGCTTCCAGATCATCGAGGTGCGGGTGCTCTCCAACTGGGGTCACCCTGAATACACCTGCATGTACCGCTTCAGAGTCCACGGAGATCCTCGGCCTCAGTGAACCAATCACCACCACACACACACAGTCATGTATGACATACCAACCTATCTGTACATAGCTCTCGCCAACTTCTTTTAAAAAGGAGGGGACTCGGAGGTAAATGATGGACGTTTTGAAAGACAAAGGAGACAAAGAAATTGTGGATTAATAAAGGAATGTGCACAGACTGAATCATGGACAAGTGTTTTGTTGAAAGAGTCACAGGAAAGTCTGTATGGGATCTGTCATGAACACAGAGGAGGAATGGAACCACAGAAGTAAATGAAACTCCGAGCCCCCTTTTCTAAAAGGTCTCTTGCACTGAATAAGCCCGCGATGGCGACAGGCTCTGACCTGAGCAGACATATCCATGGACGAATGAAATGGGGGGGCACTAAGGACTTTTCTCCTCCATTTCTTCACACACTGCATCTCAGTTTGATTTCTTGTTTTGCTCATATTATTTTCCACTTTTTTTTCAGGATCAAAGCCACTACACCTTTGCATGTAACCATTTTTGTCCATTTGTGGCCATCAAGTTTTTCAGCAGTGACTTTAACCGAGCTGTTTGGTTGGCCTGCTGGACTGAAATGCACCAGACTGGACATGAAAGGTTCACTACATCCGAGGCCGCTTCTAGTCAGGCTCTAAATGTTCTCTCAAGCTGAAGCTGGATGCAAGTCATCCTCTAATGTCACAGTGACACTATATAACCACCGACATGAGCTCTAGGTGTTCAGAGGATAAGACGCTCCTCACTTTGTACAAATTACCTGTATGATTATGGCTGCACTCTAGGATTTATTCTAGCATGTGACTCCCCTGGAACCGAATCTTGCACCATGTATTAACACTTGAGTGTGTCTGCGCTGAAGGTTTGAGTCCTGGGCAGGCATCTCAAATTAACAATCATTTTTCAAAGATAAATAAGTGCTCCTGTAGAAAAAAAAGTAGGATTTTCTTTCAATTTCTTTGAAGAGGAAGCTCTTGCTGTCTCCCTCTGGCTTAGTTTTAAACGTCCTCCTCACATGAGCTCCCTTTATTCTTAAAACCTGAAGGAATGTAAACTGTATATTTAATTGTTGATAGTCAGTCCTTTATAATAACTGCTTTTATCAGTGTTGCTTTATAAAAAAATCTTATTA